TGATTCACATCGCGCGCTAAACGTTATCATGACAGTCTCTGCGATATAAAAATCTGGCAACCTCAATCTTGACGTTTTGGCTCAGCTGTAGCAAATTACTGATAGTTTGATCAACACATGGTGGGAAATGAACATTGCTCGATTGAGAAGCTTCCTGAAACCGTTGTAGTGCGCGATTTGACTCACGTACAGCTTTGAGTTTCTTGTGAGCGGGCAGTGTGATGACCACCATTTTCAATGGAGAAATAAAGCAGAAGGCTCATTGGGATGGTCATCCTTCCTTCAGAGATAAACCCGATTCCATATAAGGCGTAATTTTATAACTTTACGACTTATACTCTTACATGGAATCAAGTATTATCACTGGAGGAGCGGTTGTGAGATATAATTGACGAAATACTCTGAAATTCACCCTTAAAGTGAAAATCCAAGTATTTGGACAATTATACCTGCTGATATTCAGCGAGAGAGCAGAATCAGAAAACTAATCAAAAATAAAAATTTAAACAATCAAAAATTCATGCTTTTTACGCTTTTTACGATCGGGATATTTCAAGTTAAGAATGACAAGAAGTTTGGCGTTTTACAAGTTTATTGATAAGAAAAATTTTAAGAAAATTTTGAAAAAGTGAAATTGACGAATTTAAAAATGTTGAAGTCGTCTAAAATAACAAAATTCCGGAAGGGAAAAGAAAAGTTTTACAACGATTCACCCAAGTTGTCCGGGGTTCCATGTTCCAAAAAGCGTAAGTCCAGCAAAGTCCAGTATCCAGAAAACAAGAGAGAGAGGTGTGGTCGAGCCGAGGCTCTCGACCAGAGTCCTCGTTCTCGCTGAGCTGAGGCTCCTTTCAAGCCCACAGATCAAATCGATAAAAAGAACGTTGAGTTTTTTAAGTTTATCAAAAAAAGTTAATGAGCGCATTTTAGATAAAGAGTTAAGCTCCTTATCTAAATATCTCAGCAGTTCAAATTCCTCGTAACCAATATGAAATAAAAACGTTAATATCTTCGTTAGGAGTTAGTTTCAGTTATTTCCTTTGTGTGAACCGTGTTCTACGTGAAGTTCTGGTTAAGATACATGTATCAGATCGCTTAAATTCGTACCTTGTCTGGTGGTCCATATATAATCGGAATCAAAGGTGACATCAGAACCCATGCGAAAACCGCACCGAAGTTACTCCTTGTCCATCCATGCACGCAACAATGAAGTGGCAAGGATTTTTGTTGATGTAGATAAGACGAGCAACGAAAATGAAAATCGGATCAGTCTTCCAAAAATTGTTGTTCAACTCCAAATCATATATGATAAGAATAAAAAAACCAGAGAGGAAAGCGAAATTTCAGCCGTTTTTTTTTATTTATTTTAGAAGAAGAAACAACTGAACAGTCAGTCACAATTTTAGATTTAAAGGGCCTGGCGGACAAAGCGCGTTTAAGTAAGTGCAGTTTTTGGAAAAAATTGAGATTTTAAGGATTTCAAGAGAATCTAGTCTTGATGCAAATTCTGTGAATAATTCGCTCCCAAATCCCAATTTTAAGCATCGAAGAGACAGTTTGAACTCTCTTTCCGCCATGAGGATCCGTTCAATTTCGAAACTTCAAACACGTATATTTTTCGAAATAGCAAAAACTGCATCATGCGCCTTGTCTTCATAGCCCCTCATTTAAAGTAAAGAATCAGTCGACAAATTGTAACTTTGTAAAATATAGAAATTCCTTCAGAAATCGTTCTCTGGCAAAGTTCCATTAGTGCCCACGAAAGAACCCCAGCAGCAGTGGGTGCTGAGGAAAGTTGTAAAAAACTCATAAATTTTAAGAGAACTTAAAATTTACCTCAGAACCATTTGAAAATTACGTAAAAAAAGGCTTGAAATATTCGTAACAGGAAACCCTTTTTGGAACTTTTTTACATTAAATTGAAGAACAATTTTAAGTAAAATTTACGTATTTTTTTTTATACACTTCCTGCGGGCAAAACCGAGGGGGTAAAGGCGATGAACAGAAAAAAATAAAAGGAAAAGTTGCAGCCCATAAAAATTGAGGATATAGTTTGTTGTTTTTCACGTAAATTCTACGTTTTCATTTAATTAAAATAACACTATCAAAACTCACAATCACTTCTTTTCAAAATTTCCGTCCTTAATTCATCTTTTCCATGAGAAACCATCCAAATTTACGACCTTAAATTTTGAACCAAATCTTCCGCTATCGAATACGAAAAATCATGGAAATTTAAGTTTTATGTTGACCAGCTTCTCGAAAGAAATATTAAATTTCTAAGGAAGTCTGCAACGTCGCAAATGGAGAAACGCCGTCTCTCCTTTTGCCCAATAATTATATATATGTATATAATTGAAGACAATACGACGGGGTTCTCTTCAACTTATATTCGTCTGTAACGATAAACAATGGGACGCGTTTGCTACGGCGCCTTGAGACAACTATACAACCTCGACGGATGTCCGTATTGCGTTCAAAAAATTGAAGGCGTTTTGACTCCCTGCTCATAATGCGTGTAGTTGATTCAATCGACAAACGCGCTGGGCGGCGGTGACGGGGACTTGATGCAACTTTTTAAACTTGATGGCTGTCCGTATCGCACCGACTGAAGTGCGAAACCACGTATTTCCATTGCGGTGTTTCAAAATTACCGTAATTCATTCTAAAATCTTATCAAAATTCTCTGACGTCGCAATTGTTCCTTTTCTTTTCTTCAACTGGAAAAAGATCTTCAACTAGAGAGTGATCTAACAATAAGCTAAATAGATAGGTACGGTCTATTTCTAAATTTCCCAGTGAATGTCGCAATGTCATGATGGCAAAAAAAATGTCAAAAGACGACAGCCACCTATTCTAGTCGGAAGAACATTTTTTGAGCTCGTTGTTGTGCATTAATAGATACTTACTTCGGTGGTGTGGGGATGTCTGGCTCTTTTTTTTTGTATAATTTTAGACAGTTATTTTTTTTTTGCCCCTCGAATAATTCGTGAGAATGATCCTTCTGTGCAGTGCACTATATTTTCTTATATACCTATTCCAGTCATCTTTGTGCTAAAATCAATGATCTACGTGATTTTTTTGACGAGCGAAAGTGGTTCTCAGTAAAAACCACGTATGACTGACCTTGCAGCTCTCGCAACTATAAGGTGCCAAGTAACTTTAAAGTGTTTTTCTTCAAGCAGATCGATGAAGGAGTGTGCCCTTTAATTCTGTTCATAAATTTTAAATATCCATACATTTTTGTCAAAATTGCTCACATTTGAATCTCTCATTTGTGTTTTTCTCATTTACTTGTCAATTCCGTTCAACCAATATTGATGGTGAAAGGACGGAAGTGCGTGTCTCGGAAAACACGATTTTTCACCACGCGCAATTGATTCTTCGTTTCAAACTGCTTAGGATTCGACTAGAATCTCGAGATTTTTTCCCCCGTCCAAAGTAGAGAAACTGGACTAAAATTTCGGGGGGAAAATTTAAAGCTCTCCGATCGGGCTGAAAGCAAGATTGAACCCTGTAAAATGACCCGAGGAGCCCAATTCCCTGATCTTGAAGGCTCCACGAGTCCGCTGGGTTTGCGCCATCGGCGAAAAAGTTGAATTGAGGGAATTGGAGGACCAGGTGCATGAGTGCAGTTTTTTAAAAAATTGAGATATTGATGATTTCATGTAAAAGTAGTCTGAGATAAATTCGCTCCCGTATATTCCAAGTTTTAAGAATCAAAAAGTCGGTTTGAACTCTCTTTCCGCCATATTAAGGATTCATTTAATTTCGAAACTTCAAACACGTACATCCCGAAATAACAAAAACTGCACTTATGCGCCTTGTCCTACAAGCCCCTCAATTTAAAAAACGGTCAATAACACTAGTTTTGCGGCTCAGGAGACCCTGCCGACTGTAGAGCCTTACGACCTTGCCAAATCAATTCTATGCTTTTCAGCTTGTTTTTTGGCATTGATCCTGATAAAAGATTCCAATCCCAAACAATTAGGAGCGAAAAATATTTGATAAGTGAAAAAATACGATGTTGAGGCTGGGGGAGAAAAAATTCTGCAACAGGATTCCCTAACTTTTCCCGTCTTGTCTAAGTCGGGCAAACTTCATTAACCCTATAGGAAATATCCTCCATCATGCTCTTGGATATAAACCAAAAACTAAACTTCCTAGGTCTAGTGTGAAAAAGAAATTACAGAGTGAAAACAGTTAAGCACTCATGAACATTCTTGTACATAATAATGGTACATGGTATAATCCAAAAGTCCACACTCTTTTTGCTAACTTATGAACAGTTTCATTTCTTGGAAACTTGTGACTTCGGAGTTTTTCTTACGTCATTGAAACTCACTTTTGATCATATTAAAAATTCAGAAATTATCATTGCGGACCCTGACCGTTAATGCTCGAGCTGTAACCCATTTTTTGTTGCTTCAGGATGCTGTCCCCAAATGTGTCAAAAAGTAGACACTACTGACCTAAAAATAACCGCAAAAATTTGAATTCCCCCTCAATAATGTGGCAAAAGATAAAGCTTCGAGATCACCCTGTATTTCGACGGTGTAAGTCGGCAATCACATAATTCGTTTGCGGTGTCTGAAAATCTCCACCTTTATGTTATTTTTTTACAGGAGAACAAATTGACTTCACTCCTTGAAGTTTTTGCAGAATTTTCTTGGCACAGAAAAGAAAAATCACGGCAGTTTTAAAAAATTGCCGTTGAGTAGTTTTCCGTCTAAAAAACAAAGTATAACAGGAAGTCTACATCGTCGCTAACCGAGTTATGTGACTGCCGACTTACACCGTCGTTTGCATAGTGACAGTAATTAAAATACTAGATTGTATCAAGCTACCTCGTTATTCTGACCAGAGGCATGGTGGTTCATTACGATTTATGTGCCTACTAATAAGCTGTAAAATCACTCAGTCTGTAATTTTGAGAATGTCAGTTCTAACATCACTGTTTTTGTAATAATCGAACAGGTTGGGAACAAATAAGAGATTTCATGTAAAGTTAGAAAAATAAATTGGTTCGTTTTTTATTGGAGGTACAAAAATATTGTCTAGTCATTCATGTTGGAAATAAACTATAGAATAATAACATTAAAACAACTTGAGTAAAAATAATTACAAAGGTGTTAACACGGTAATTACAAACAACATTTTGAACTAATGTAATTCATGGTGCCTACACAAAATTACTAAATCAAGTTAGAAATGGTACAGTAAAAAAGAAATTGGTATGATAATGTTGATGCTTAGTAGTAAACGCATCTGACAAGGAGAAATCTCTGCTCATCTCAAAGGTTGACCTGCAACAGATTTCAAATGCTACCTGCAAACTACTAGACATCAAAAAATGATGAAATTCTCAGCTGATCGTAAGTTTTACTCATCATCATCAAATTAAATAAATTTGCATTGGAAATTTCTGCATTTTTTTTTATTTTAATGAGCAGCAGTCATATGCTTGGGATGATTTAATGATTAGTAATGTTACTCTACGGACTTTTGAAAGATAACCACAAGGTTTTCGCAATCACAAGGTCATCATGAACATTAAAAATAACATCAACAAAACAAAGCTTACATTGCAATTAAAACTCCATGATATGTAGTGCTCAGAAATTAAAGATTTTCCAGAAAACACATATTTGGATACTCATCAGGTGGGAGAAAAAAGGAATAAAATCTAGTTTAAAAAAACCACTGCTTGCATTTTGATTAAACTTCTACAGAGATTCTGAGCAGACTCAAGTATTTCACACTGTTCGAGTTAGGAATTTTAAAATGGTTGTGTGTATTAAAGTAGGGAAACTTTCTTTCAAGACCTCGGTGTCGCTAACTGAAGAACTAACATAGAGTAAGTAAAAATGTTCGAAGCACAGCTGGAAATTTCTTCTTCTTTCAAAATCTGAGAGCCTATTTAAAATTTGAACTAATTATAACTAACACGTCATGCTTAAATGAAGGTCCTCAAGCATAACATGTTCCGTTGATAGGACACTCAACAAAAAATTACTGGGAGTGGATACATTTCAATCATTTATTATTTGAGTACTTCTGATGTAGACAAAAATATTTGCTAATTCGACAGCTAAGTTAGGCATTTGAAGTAAAAAAATAAAGTCAGCACTATCGACTTAACAATTTGGGAGGCACTAATCACACATTAACATTCACCCCAATTACCAGTATCAGTCTTAACTTGTTTAATAAAAAACTAACAACACCAAAAAAAAAAAAAATTGGATTTTAAAATAGCCTTAGATTTACACATATCAGAGAGAAAAGGTATTCAAGACAGTTCACCCTGAAAGAAGAGAGATAGAGAGAGAGATAAAATTTGGATAAAAATGTTGTGAATACAACTACAAGAAATAAATCTCTGATTCAGAGGTGTGTTCTTGAAGCTCTAACTCTGGTCAGTCTTGGTATTAAATTAAGATGGGTAGAATTTCTTTGAACTGTCCCTGGCGTGATCCAGCAAAAGTTGACACGGCTCAAAAGGTGCTCCGTACAGTGAATGGTAGAGCTCCATTTTCTTGACGAGTTTGTCAGCTCCATACTGATCAACCCATCGGAATGGTCCACCAGTGAAAGGAGGGAATCCTAATCCAAAAACTGCGCCGACGTCACCTTCCACCTGTAAATTATATCAACAAGATGATTTAAACTTTGAGGGAAAACAAAATGCAATTAAGATTTAGTTTCAGCTTCATAACCAGCACCAAGCGATTCATTTGGCACTCGGTCACAAATAAACACAAATTGAATGGACCTCGCCCGAAGGATCCTGCATAAAACTTGATTTCTTCCCAAACCGCAGGTCCAGATTTCAAAACCTCTGGCATTTTGGAGAGCTCTATTTATAAAAAATTAAGAACTATTTACAGATTTTATTTTTACAGACTGTCATTTTTAGTTCCTGAAATATGAGCTGCGTAACTTTAATTTTTAGACGACTTTTGTGCACATCACTAATTAAAAGGGCATATTAATTTTTCCTATCACTAATGACTAAACCTGTTAAATTTTTGCTTCATAATTTTTGATCTCTCTAGCTAATTCTGTCTTAGACAGAAAACGTGCCTTACAGTCAGATTAACCAATCATTAAATACATGAGCTTGTAGGGAATTTGTGAGTTAGTCCAGGCAATAGAGCTCAAAATAGGAGGTTTGAGGGAAAGTTTAGTTGAACTAGCAATTATGGGCTAACTTTAGGTGTTTTGGGTCGTAGAATCCAAATTTCGACTTGCCTGACAGATCCGACCCTCCCCCTGGTCGCCATTTTGAAAAAACGACTAAAATTTATGGTTTTTCCCCATTTTTCGCTCATAATTTTTTTCTGTTCAAAATATCAAAAATCTCGACACTTCTGTGGAAAGACGATTAAATTTGCAAGAGCTTGGTATATACTTATGTACACTTAACGCGAAAATCGCGAGAATGGGAGCGCGAAGAGGGCAGAGGGAGATATCGATCTTGCGCCATTAGATACTTAACACCCTGCATCCCTTTACGTGTAAGTCATATTAAACAAGCGGTTATTTCAATGTATTATTTTATTAATCCCATTACATAAATGACTGGTTACGGATTTAGACAAAATCAAAAATATTTTCAAAATGTGGACATGTTTGATAAGTAAGTGAGTTAGTCCAATCGTGGGCGTTTGGCAGCTCGGTGCAACGAAGTTCTAACTTTTGGTGACGGACAGGTGGATGGGCCTGGTTCTCCTCCATAGACATCACGGCCGGCGTTGATCTTCGACTCTAACACAGTATCCAGAATATGAAGCTAGAAGTCAGACGAAAAAAAAAAGAGAAGAAAAGGAAAGAAAAGAAAAGCAAAGGAAGGAATAGAAAGGAAAGGGGGGAAAAAAGGAACCTAAATTGAAGGAAGATTAAAATTTTCGCATCACTAATCCCAAATAGAAAAAGCATTCTGGTTTACTGTATCAAGCAGTCTGGTGTTCATATATATGGTGTGTATATCTGATAATCCTGCAAGTGCAAAACGAGTTGTCGAGGCGCGTGCGGTTGCAGGAAATGTGGGCTTAAATGCTCTGCATTGTGCATCAACTGCAGTGATACATTCGAAAACATGCCTGAAATCGCTTTAGCGGACTCAGAGGACGAGGATGATGTTGAAGCTTATGACTTTTCCGACGAGCCAAGTACAGAAGAAGATTTTGAAGCTATCATGACTGAAGTTCAAGACCTTCCAGAAAGCCCACATTCAGAAATAAACAATGAACCTAAAGGTTTGTTATTTCTTTTACACTGCTCGCTTGTTATCAAAAATTTCTTGCATAGAAAAAATACCATGGCAAGCTTTATTAAACAATCAGGTGTTCGTTAGTGACATGTATTCCTATGATAATCATTCAAAAACTTCGGTAAGGATTATCAGAAATACACGCCATATATGAACACCAGACTGCTAGATACAGTAAACCAGAATGCTTGTTCTATTTGGGATTAGTGATGCGAAAATTTTAATCTTCCATCAATTTAGGTTCCTTTTTTCCCCCTTTTCTGTTCTTTCCTTTTCTTTTCTTTTTATTTCGTCTGACTTCTAGCTTCATATTCTGGATACTGTGTTAGAGTCGAAGATCAATGCCGGCCGTGATGTCTATGGAGGAGAACCAGGCTCATCCACCTGTCCGTCACCAAAAGTTAGAACTTCGTTGCACCAAGCTGCCAAACGCCCACGATTGGACTAACTCACTTACTTATCAAACATGTCCACATTTTGAAAATATTTTTGATTTTGTCAAAATCCGTAACCAGTCATTTGTGTAATGGGATTAATAAAATAATACATTGAAATAACCGCTTGTTTAATATGACTTACACGTAAAGGGATGCAGGGTGTTAAGTATCTAATGGCACAAGATCGATATCTCCCGCTGCCCTCTTCGCGCTCCCATTCTCGCAATTTTCGCGTTAAGTGTACATAAGTATATACCAATCTCTTGCAAATTTAATCGTCTTTCCACAGAAGTGTCGAGATTTTTGATATTTTGATCAGAAAAAAATTATGAGCGAAAAGTGGGGAAAAACCGTAAATTTTAGTCGTTTTTTCAAAATGGCGACCAGGGGGAGGGTCGGATCTGTCAGGCAAGTCGAAATTCGGATTCTACGACCCAAAAAACATAAAGTTAGCCCATAATTGCTAGTTCGACTAAACTTTCCCTCAAGAATTCTCTATTGCCTGGACTATGTGTCCACTCCAAGAGAAGGAATAATTCTTCTGAACAACAAATAGTTTTCATTTTGTTTTTTGCCTCCAGGATTGCCACAATATCTTCATCTTGAAATTCTCTGACTTCCTCTGACTTTTCCCTGACTCCAAAATTTTCTAATTTCCTGATTTTTCCTGACCTTTGAACAAAATTTACGAAATTCCTTGCTTCGATATCAAATTTTGGGGAAAGGCACTCAGTCTCTAGCTGGTTAAAAGATGATAAGCCTCATTAATGACCAGAGAGGGTTTAAACAGTTGAAGGATCAGTGATATGTTTTATGCAAGTCAGAAATTCCCAGACTTTCTTTAACTTTCTTCAACTTGGCAAGAGCTATAACGCCTGAAGAATTTTCTTAAGGCGACCATTGGTTGAGATTGATTACGACAGAAAAAATAGATTTGAAAAAGTACTTACAGGTCCATTCAACAAAGTCTCCTGTAGACAGAGTACAGCTTCATTGACGAATCTAGATACTAAACGTAATTGCTTATCTTCATCTGTGAACTCTCCCTTAGGGTCTGTTCTATAATTATTGATGACACCTAGAGCTCCATCATTAACAGGGCGATCTTTTGTGCCTGACTTGTAGACAAAGTAGCCTTTGCCTGATTTTCGTCCTAAAGAGTAAATGAAAGAAAAATATTAAATAGTAGAAATTAAAATTAAATTAAATTATTGATACAAAATTAAAGCTGAGATAACTGCACCAACTTGATGAATGACTACAAGGAGCCTACAATATTTTCCTTATGCAACCAGAATTACAAGTACTATTGCTGTGTGAAACTTGTATTAATTACATACAGTGACTTAATTACACACTCAGCAGTCATTCATACGTCAGCCATCACCTTTATCTAGGATATGTCTAACTGCCTGGGCACATTTTGATGGCCAAAGTGCAAAACCTGGTATCTCCGTTAGTAACATTGCAGACTTCCTGTTATACTTTGTTTTTTCTTTGGAAAACTAGTTGCAGTAATTTCTTGAAAACTTCTTTGATTTTCCTTTTTGTTTACAGAGTATTTAGTATATGATTCAAGCTATAAAATTGACTTGTTTCTGTTCAAAAAAATAAAATAGTAGCAGAAAGGACCCCACACACCTCTTATGGGAAGCTGCACCATGACCGATTGCCTTCTGACACATGTATTTCGATTCTCCTCAAGATGCTGATCAAAACTTATAATTGCGCCAACTTTCTACGATGCACCGTTTTTGCAAAAAATCAAAGAGAAGATTCAATTATTCGGTGATAAAAAGCCAGAAAGATTCCTCATTTCAGTGCTCGATTGACAAGCAGCTGTGTGTCAACAAGGAAATCATGGGGACTCCCGCACCAAGCGGCAGTCTTATCTCGGATTCCGCACGCAGTTTTGCTCAACCATCCAAATCAGATTCTTGAGGAGCATAAGAACAGGAAAGTCTGAACGTCTACCGGGCGAGTGCGGGAGGGAGATAGCCCCTGAGTTGGCAGGTACAGATGAGAAGACGGACAGGCGCTACGTTCTTTCCTTATTTACATCGGGCCTGTCCTCAAATGCTTTGTTCTTTTTTATTCACAGTCGCCGAATAATTGAATCTTCTCTTTGATTTTTTGCGAAAACGGTGCATCGTAAAAAGTTGGCGCAATTATAACTTTTGATCAGCATCTTGAGGAGAATCGAAATACATGTGTCAGAAGGCAATCGGTCATGGTGCAGCTTCCCATACGAGGTGTGCGGGGTCCTTTAGAAACAAGGCAATGGAGGTAAGTGGTTTTACACTTTTGCAATCGATTTGTGCCTTGCTTAAATTTAGAATATGTAATCTAAAAAAATTTACATGTGTGCAAATAAAGGTGCTAAATGATAAACAATATACGCTTTGATAACAGAAGGGTAAAGGCACTTTCATTTCCAATAGACCACTAGACAAATCACAAAACTATGAAGCACAAGAAATGTTTCCTTATCGACATTCTTTGCAGAATGCTAAGAAGCATTAAAACTTTTCAAATTCACCCTGACGGAGAAAATAAAAATTTCATTTTATGTCAATTCACACCCCATGCTCACAGAAAGACCAGAGTCCACTCAAGTCAAATCAAGCACTGAAATAATTTCAGTATTAAAGAATAATACAAAATTAAGTACCTAAGAATCCCTGTTTGACCATGTCTTGCAGAATACCAAGGTTACCTCCAGCAAAACGTTCACCAAACACTTTAGCAAGATCCGCTGCAATGTGAGATCCTACATCAATTCCAACTTCGTCCGACAGAGTCGCTGCTCCTACTGGGAACCCGAATTGCTTGGTGAGTTTGTCTAAATCTTTTGGATTCACTCCTTCCTAAAAAAGCAAAAGTAAAAGTATTATAACTAAGACGATCAAAAGCATTTTAGGCATGCATCCATGTTAAAAGAGATATTAACAGAAACTGAAAACTTTTGGCAAAATTCTGCAACTACAGTAAAACTTCGATATAACGAACGTCGATATAACGAATTTTTTTCGCGGTCCCGAAAAAATCCCTATCTTTTCAATATAAAATAAATTCTATACAACGAATTTCGGTATAACGAATATTCGCTTTTACGAAGGAAATCTTTGGTCTGAGTACGAACTTTACCATGTAAATCGAACTCGATTTAACGAATGCACTGGAATTTCCGCGCGCCCAGTAACACCGCGGGGGAGAAAGCATGCTTGTCTTGACCTGTGTATTGTACGTCGGTGTCGGTGCAAAGGTCATTTTCCAATACGGCAGGATTGGGAATTTCCGAGGCGCACATGTTTCCTCCAATAAACGGGGGGATTAAGGAGCAACGTGAACAGTGTAGTGAGTACGATTTCAACCCCTGCCGTGGGCTCCTCATTACTGCTGGGCAGTAATACTGATCAAGTGCTAACCGGATGTTCCCCGCCGATTTTCCGTAACATATCGTCATAGTTTAAGACGGGAGGGGGGGGGGTGGAGGGTAGACGAAACGGGAAAAAACCTAACATTTCAAAACAATTTGTGGCCTAAAATCGGATTTTCCGCGGTTTTCGATATAACGAGCCACATTAACAGGGTGTCTACTAAAACAGGCTGGTCAAAAATAAGTACTTTTACAGTACTTTTTCAGTGCATTCTCGAGAAATTCAGTACCTCCTTCATCAGAAAAATTCCTTTCTTTTTCAGTACCTCCATTTGACGAAATTAGAAAAATTTCAAAAATTTGAAACTGCGACAAAAATGAAAAAAATTCCAGACCTCTTAGCAGAGTTTCTGCATTTTTTCAGTGCTTCCGGACCGCCCTTAGAAAATCAGTACTATTTCCGGACTTTTCGGACCTGTAGATACCCTGCTTAAGGGCAACAGCACCTGATTAGTCTTCAAAAACAAAATTCTGCTCACGTTGGAACTCATATCAGAAATAGTTTAACCGTGAAATTTAGAGCTTGAAAACGTCTTTCTGAGATTAAGAAGCTTTGAAATCGTAACTTGCAGACAAAAAGAATTTGCAGTTCGCAGTTCAATATTTACGGAAAATTTGAAAATGCCAGTGTTTAGGACAATTTTGGTAATTTTTTGAGGACCTGAACAAGAAAATTGGGGACTTTCAGTGATATCGGGGACACCCTTCAAAAATTGGGGATAATCGGGGACATTGGGAACAGGCAGACAGCCTGAAAATAGAAAAAAAACCAACCTGAAGAAGCCGCATAGCTTCCGATAACATTGTTGAAAGAATACGAGTTGTATAGAATCCAGGACCATCTTTAACGACGATGACTACTTTCCCTTGCTTTAGACCAACTGAAACAGCAGCAGCAGCAGTGTCGTTTGAGGTTTTATCATGTGTGATAATTTCAAGCAATTGCATTTTATCTACAGGTGAAAAGTAATGCATTCCAATAACCTGCAGAAGAAAATAAAATTTCATTGTAGTCTAGGTCCAAAATGCAATGCAGAATATTCTAAAACTGTGCAAAAATTCTTGTAGTTGCGAATACATTTGTATCTTACTTTGACTATGTTCTTAATTTTTATTTTCTCACCCTACGTCACTCAATGCACATCAAAACAGCGCAACAGCTTCACAACTCGATACAGAAATGAATTGTAGGGGACAATCTTGCTTACATCGGTTTGGAATGGAAAATTTGTCACATTTAGCAGTTCTGACAAAAGCAGGAATTTTTACATTATAGACAAAAAAGCCGGTCTATGTGCAACTGACAACCTAGGCCAGTTTAATTTTACTTAGACTTTGGTTGGATGGTCGACAGCTAGATTTCTAAACCAAGCAAAAAACTAGAATCATCTAATGAAAGCTTCGTTCATCACTTGATGCAGAATGTCTGCCATCTTATTGTTAGACTTGCGCCTCTAGGTAAACTCTTGACAAATTATAATCCAAGTGATTTCATGAGAATAATAACCTAGACAAAAAAATAAAAGGAGCATTATTTATACAAACCTTTTCTGGGCGGGAACTACCAGCAGCGATTTTAGCTATTGGTATAGCACTAGTGTTTGTAGCAATTATGCAGTGAGGAGGTACAACCTGTTCTAGTTCTTTGATAACCTTGTGCTTGACATTGATATCTTCGAATACTGCTTCCACGATGAGATCAGCTTTTTTGAAACTATCATAGGATAAAGTTGCATCTAAATTTGCTAAATACCTGTCCTTCTCCAGCCTGAAAGCAAAAACGGACAAATTATAGAGTGCTTGAAGAGACTGCTCCCTAGCATGAACCACAAAAAATTATGTTTGTCCAACTTACAAATGAATCAGTGCAGAAACCAATAGTATCCCTTTATTTACAGGATAACCAGAATTCAGAAAATGAACTTCCTTGACACCTTTTGATAAAATTCTGTGACAATTGAAGATATGCTAGATGGTTAAAAAGAGATGATTTGAAATAGCTTTAAAGCAAAATATGTTGTTCAAATGTTAAACCTATTATAGAAAGCAAACAAAGGTGAATAAACAATTTTCCTTAACATTTTTGTTATTTCCCATGAAATTTTCACGTTTTCCGACTTTTTAAAATTCCCTGACATTTCCCAGTGCTGCCTGACTATGGCAACCTTGACTTTCAAGGGGGAAACTAATGGATAATAGATCCCAATCAGACCCTTAGAATCCAGAAAAATGTTAGTGATTTGGGATTGAAGAGGGTTGCTATCAACTTTTGGCAGTCATTACCTGCTGTAGTTGCTGCCATAGCAAAGGCCTGTGCTAAAAATGTATACATATTCTTTTTAAATAAAAAGCCTTAAATTGGTTTCGAAACAGACTCTAACTATATAATTTGGGTAAAATTTACAATGCTACGAGCAAAGAGATAAAAATTTTCAGTTTCCCAAGTCGTCGACGTACAAAATACTTCATTTTTTTAAACTCAGACAGCCTCATGAATTATTACTGAACATTATACTAATGAAAAAAGGAAACAAAGAAAAAAAAAAACTGGAGAAAATTTGATGAGAAGCTTACGCAGACAGACGTTTCCTTTTAACGCCATTAATGAGACCATTCGCTATTTGAGTTTCGCCTCTTCTTAAGCCCTTATCTGTGGCATCCTTCATTATAACATTGTAACCTTTATCAATACTGACTTGGACAATTCCTGCTCCCATGAGACCGGCACCTAGAACTCCAACAGTTCTAAAAGAAAAATGATGGAAGTTACAACAGATTTAATTTCTTGTTCTACCTATCATTAAAATGTCAATTCCATGTGAAGATTAACCATCAGAAGGAATATCTATTCTTAACATAAAATTGCAGAAACACTTACAGAAAAGTTCTGAAAATATTTACTTCCACTCCAAAACACTGAAGAAAATTGGGTCAATCTAAGTTTAGACGTAAATAGTCCATTTTTTGATGGGCCCTGATTTCCATAAAAATGCTTTTAAGTATGTATTCTAGGACTCATCAGATAATAGACATTTCCAGTTTTAACATTTACAGCTCCAATGGATCAGTGGCATAAGAAAATTGTATTGCTTCATGTAAAAGTATTAAATAAGCTGAGTTTAGTGGGAGCTTCCTAAAAAGTTTTTTCGCAAAAAATAGGAATTTTTTCGTAGGATGGCAGAGGAAAGTTGCTTTAAAGTTGAGATATGGATCGTTTTGAGACGCCACTGGGCAGAATTTCCAATTTAAAACTGAGTATTTCAACACATCTACGTATTTAATCATAAATCTCTTGATGCTTTTTTGCTTTGCAGGAAAAAAAAAATGCTGAAGTAACATCCCAGATGTTAAGAATCTGCGCGACAACTTATGAGAGTTGATATGAACACTACAGTTGTTAATTCAACGCACCTCGGATGTTACTTTAACAGCTGGAGTGTCCATGACAACATTCAAGAGGTGACGCACAGATTTTTGACATCCAGGATGTTACTTCAGCAACTTTTTTTTCTTCCGTGTTTGAAAGGCAAGGATACCTATTTCCATTCTCTGCTTGGGATGTTTTTAATACTTGAGCAAAAAATGTCAACATTCAAACCACTGTGCAACAATTCTGTGTTTCCTGAACTTTGGAGAGATTAATGAGAAATTTTACCATTTATCCCCAATTTTCTGAGATCTTCAAACTTTCCTGTCATTCTCCAACACTAAAGACGGTGAAAAGGTCACATATTTTTGGAAATTAGCTGACATGTATGACAAAATACAAAAAAACATAAAAATAAAATAAAATACGATTACAAAATACAATTAAATTAACAAAAGCGCACATATATATGCAAAACACTGGAAGAATTTTGCCATAGAAAAAAAAGCTAGAGAAAAGACCACTCATGAGTCTAAACTTACTTGACAGGTGTTTGTGGTTTGCCAAAACGATTCTTTTTACATTCGGTTTGTCCAAAGAAAAGACCAATGAGACCTTTGCTTTGAGGAGTCATCGCTAGCTCTGCAAAGCCTTCACTCTCTGCTTCATACCCTGCTCGAGGCCCTTTATCGATGCCAGTTCGAATCACTTCGATGATCTGATTAGAAAGACGAGAAAAATTATGAAAATTAGCTGTACAATAAGTTTATTAAACAGAATTGATTAATTACAGTAAAATATGATTACTATGCTTGATAAAAATTACTGTACTACTTGTTATCTGGCCCTCTTTTGAACATACACCTGAGCATAATTCTGAGGGGACTTTTAATTTCACCAAAGTTTCAGTCAGGATTGCCACCAAATTAGAAAATTACATCCCTGATTTTCTTGTAAGTTTTGGTGAAATTCAGTGACAATTGAAGAGATGCGAGGACATAATTTGAGATAGTTTTTAGGAAAAATTCGTTGTTTGAAACTTCAAACTCTTTCTAAATGCAAATAAAGGTGACTTGACACTCTTCTTCTAAATTTCCTGGTTCGCACTGACTTTTCAAAATTTCTTAACATTTTCCTGTATTTGTTAACTGTGACAACCTTGATAAGTGCTTGTTTTGATGGATGGAAAGATTACTGACCTGATTTAGCAGTGAAAAAACATGTAAAAGATAAAAGTTTTCTTGAGTAATTTGACTACATCCTGATACTAAATTCTGATTATGTATCGTACAGCTTTTGTTGTACCCAGTCTAGCTATGGAGTTAAACAAACAAAAATTCTCTCTATTCGAATTTTATGTCTAATGGATGAAATAAAAAATCCTATCCTAACATGTAAAGTTTAAGGTCATCAGTGATTTTGGAGCTACGAATATAGGGATTTTCATGGCTTTGAATTTGATTCATATATGGTTTTTAATCTGATGCGGCTGCTAGAAGTTGACAATTGTTTTGTTATGGGATATGTTGTTTTGTTATCAGTGGGATAGTGGATATTTCACTGTAAGTACTATGTAATTGCCCTGTTGCGGCCAAACAAATGGATCACAGCAACTGAATACTCATATGCATGCTTGACAACCCGAAAGTATCACCAGAGGTAAAATGTTATCTCCTTTTTCGTGAATTTTTTTTCTTTGTTTCACAATATCAATGCTTAAGACAGTATAGATGAATATCTAGTCCATACATGACAATTAATTCATCTCATTTTTTGGGTTTAAATCTTGTTCTACTTGCCAAACTACATAATAAAAAAAAAAGTAAATTAATTCTAAGTTATGAATATATGCCGCAAGCAAATAGTCAAAACAGGGATTTGATAAAATGCCTGAGCAGATAGTCAAATTTTGACCATTATCGAAGTTTATTATGTTTTCGACGAAGAGCTTTCAAGTTTTTCACTTTTTAGCAAGAACTTTAATAATATCTACAAACTTTCCTGGAATTTTTCTTCCTAAATGCCTCCTATGTTTTACCGTAAAATTTTAAAGATTCAAAATCTGCCTCAGCATTTGACAAAATGCCCAATTAGATTATTTGCCTGCGACATAAACTTGAATTCTACCTTTGGATTATACTTACTTTTAAAGGTGCTGGGTATAATCCACCTGTCATTTTCATGACAGACGATTTGGCTTTGCCAAAAATTTTATCTTTGACAAAATCATAACCAAGAGCGAAATTCAAAACTTTATCGGTTAAACCTTTCTTCCTTTGGAGTGTAATTTTACCAGCAGCAATATCTTGTGCCACTTTGACAGCAACTTCTTCTAGATATTCCATTGTTCTGAAGAACACAAGACATTCTGATAAGATTCAAGAAAACAAAAAAAAAAAAAAAAAAAAAATCCCGATTTGTCTCTTTAGAAGAGCTCAAAACCAGATAAAACAATTTTAATTATGTATTCCACTGATGACTTGGAATGCAACATGAAAAATAAGTTCCTTTCCATTATTTAATTTTCAGAGAGTTCCAGTTTTCAGAGTAAGAAATGCCTGGTACTTTAAATTTGCAACCCTTAAGGTCTTAGACTTCCATTTTTACGGGTATTTGAGACACTGCTGAGCACAGTAAAATAAGTGCCACCTTCCCCTCCTACAAAGCTCTCATTAGGCTATGACTATGTAATAATTTTGCTCCTTTATTTCTGGTGACAAGTTTGAGCACTGGTGCAAATTCTTACATGGAACACAAAACAACTGAGAGCTCACATTGTTTTTTCCTTTATTTAATTTCATTTTATAATTCAGACACCTTGGCACTTTTGAGCAGTAGTAATTTAAAATACTACTATCATGACAGAAAAGAAACCAACTAGAGAAGAAGAGTCAGTTTGAGAAAAATAAATGAAGTAAAATTATTTTTTTAAAACTTTTCATTTTTTTTTTATCCATCGTGTGAACTGGATGAGTATCTAAAAGAGAAATTGCTTTGCAAGGTAGCATGGAATTCGATAGCTTAAGGTTTGGTAAAAACGCTTTTCAGACTCCGATCAGAAAAACTGATACGGCTTTTAGAAATGTGGTGTTTCAGGATGCATCGGTTTGCTAAAAAAAGTTCTCAATTTAAAGCTAGTACTGTCCAGTGTTACACAGAAAAAGAACTTCATTTAAGATAAGTCTATAAGCATAAAAAAAAAAAATTAAGATTCTAGAGATAGGCATATTTTAAGTCTCCAGAAGTTAAAATAGTAAAAGCTTACTAACCGAGTCTCTGCAGGGGCTAATCCAGGCCCAAGGGGATCTACCAACAGGTCGATAATACCTAGTTTCTTGGCTTTGTCAGCTTTCACTGACTTACCGGTTAGCTCAAGATCAAGAGCAGTAGGAACTGAGGTTAACTTAGGTAACCGTTGGGTCCCACCAGCTCCAGGCAAAAGACCAAGCATCACTTCTGGCAGGCCCACAGCTGTTTTACGATCTTTAACAGCAATACGATACTGACATGATAGAGCCACCTACAGAAAAGGGAAGAAAAAGTATCTTTTACTTACAAATCAGATCAGCAGCCGGGTTGTTGAAATTTTTTGTTTGTCGGGACGACATACATGAAATAGGTTAAATGGCGAAGCGTGGTTAGTCGGCTATGTCTTACTGCTGCTTTGTCATCCTTTGTCGGTTGGAATGGACAACATACTGTCCGAAACTTAAGAGGTGCCGTTAGCTTGTCGTGAGTTCAACCAGACATAGGCATGACAAAGCAGCCCTAAGACATAACCGATCAATCTTTCACCGCCTTTTAACCTATGTCATCTATGTCGTCCCGACAAACAAAAAATTTCAACAATCAGGCTGCAGTTAGAAAAAATTGAAGACTTGCTTCTGGGCTAATGTGGAAAGGAATATTTTGGAAAAATGCCTCTTTGCTTTTGTTATTGGAGCAATGAAGTCTCACCCTCTTGACAGCAATACCACATTATCTGACTTTTATTGCTTATTACTTTGCCATGCTTACTAAATGATAAACTTATTCATGTCAGAATAATACAAACTTTTAAATCGCACTGCATTGTATTAATTTAAAAAATAAGCAAAAAAGAAGTAAAAAATTAAAAAGTAAGGATGAAGATTTATTATCAATTCGTTTAATGAGAAAAAACACTGAGAAGTGGTCCAAACTGGATGTAACAAGGTAGAGAAATGGTCCTGGGTCCACACCATTACTCGGGGAAAATAAAGCCAAGATGTTCCAAAAATTATAATTAGAATCAAAAATATTTTTTTTTTTTTAAACTCTAATGAGCACCAGTACAAAACTGAGGGGTTCACTGACGAGTGTGATCTGCTGATGAGGTCTAAAAAGACCCAAACCGGTATAGATCTCTCGGCATGACTCCAACTTAATATTCCAATGCAAACTGCCTGAGCTGAACACTCTCCCCCCTCAGTTTTGCACTAGTGCTCATTAAAGTTTAAAACAATTTATTTTTGACTCTAATTATAATTTTTGGAACTTCTTGGTTTTGTTTTCCTCGCGAAATGGTGTGGACCCAGCACCATTTCTCCACCTTGTTTCAATTTTTTTAAATTGATCTTTAATTTTCCATTATGATTTAACAGAATATTTAATTAGCAAGGAAGGTAGATAAAACTATGAGTAAACTTACTTCAAGCCCTCCGCCTAAGCAAGGCCCCATTATAGCAGCTACGATGGGTTTCCTAGATGCCGCAACCTTTGCCAATAAATTTTGACCAGATACCGAGATATTCTTCACTTCCTCTTTTGTTTTACATGCAGCTAACATTGTAATATCTGCACCGGCAATAAAAACACCTGGCTTGCCCGAGATAAGAACGGCTGATGAAACAGAAGAGTCCCCTTGGAACTCCTCGACGGCTGCTCCAAATTCACTCATGACAGCTGCATTTAAAGAATTCACCTGAAAGAAACGGGATTGTTATTTTAAAAAGCTACTCTAGCTAGTAATAAAAGAGATGATTAAATTTGTGGGTATTTGGAGGAAACACTGTAAACTTCTTACAGTTTTTCTTCATGAATTGTAAATAAAGGATGAAAAGAAGATTATGGCTTGGAAATTTTTCGAAAATAGGGGGTTTTACAAAATAGGAGGACTGCAAACATTCTGCCCCGTGTGAAAATTTTGGACTTTATTCTGGTCAGTACAGAAATTCAGGGTTCTTGGTGCATCTTTCTTGATGAATTATGAAACTGCAAATGATCAGTGTGAAACAAAAGCTGTCAAAACACACTTTCAGTGATCTCAAAATATGAGAAGACGCAATTAGGTACTATGAGATTCAATTAATAAAACTGTCATTTTTCAACGACTGAAAGATAAAACTTTTGTATGTAGGAGGTAAAAAAGTGTTAGACTTTCACAGAGATGTTTGTAGACGTTAGAGGAGCCACAACCTTGATTTTTCGTTTTTTAGTAAGGGCTGATCAAGTGAAAGAAAAATATTTTAAGCGCCTTCATTGAAGAGTGTGTATCTCTCTTTGCAATGTTGTAAATTTTCATCTACACTTCGCTTTAGAAGGAAAACTAAGTACTTTATACTTTTTCTTGAAATTTTTTGAAGACTCTGTTCCCTGTTCAGAGAGGGAACAGGACACATTTCAGGTTAAAGTATGCTTCAGTTTCCTTTTCAAGTTAAATCATGAAACACCGCAATTAAACTGCTACACATTTTTTTACTTCAACTATTGAAGGTCTAATTTTTAAAGTTAAAAAAAAAATATTTATTTGAGTTCACAAAGATTATACCTTTGCTCCGGGTGAATTTAATGTCATGACAGCAACATTGCCGACTTTTTTCACGCTCAGGTGTTTGCCATCAGAAGAGGGAGCCGCCTCTGCTTGTTTGGAGACAGCAGTAGTAGATAGAAATCTTTGTTGGAATGGAGCTGCAAAATCAATGAGAGAGAATATTTTACTTGATAAGTTTGATAAGGAGGAAGGATACAAGATCTACAAAACCCTAATGGTAGGAGAAATGAAAAAGTATCCATGATGTGAAGGACCACTTCTAACATAGCAGTCGGAAATCTGCAAAGAACTTAAAGGTTAAGCAATCACTTTCTAGTATCCATTACTGTACTCAATGGCTCAAAGATTTCAAAAAGAGGTTGCCACTTGCACACACAAATTACTTTCCAAAAACTCCTTGACATTATGCTCGTTTACTGGGACTCATAGATGCTATTAATGATGAGAACATGACAACATAGGTGGCATTGAAAGAGGTCATTCCCTTGTTGTTGGTGACGTTCATATTAGTGGTAACAAAATAAACATACTTACTCAGCATTTTAAAAAAGTCTTTTATTTTAGATATTTATAAAAATTTTCCTCAAAATCATCCATTTTATAGTATTTGTAAGAACCTGACATTGAAGTTCAGATTGCTCCGAATCAACATATTGCACAATTAAGACTACTGATTCATAAATTGGAAACTTCGACAGCTTCCACTGCTTCAGCTACAGAGATTTGTAGGGCACAGTTACGTATGGTTCAATTAAGGTTATGAAGGACAATTTCCGGGCAAAAAGGGAAGAACCATAATTATCGTATCTTTGAGTGTAGCTCAAGAAAGACTACCTTCCCCATTTACACCATTTGCTCCTCTGAAACTAAGGTTGTATCCACCTTGGAGAGAAATGAGGGTCTCAATTACTCCGTAAAGATCATTGGATACTGTGACTATTAGGTTTCAGGTGGTGTACAGGAAGTTCACGGCAAATTCATAGATACCTATTCCAAATCTCTAGGAGATCAATGAAGATATGAACAAATAGTTGTAAAAGGCCTTGGTGATATCAACAAGACACCTAAGTAGGTACTAGAGTTTCTACTGCGCATTTTAAGGAAGCCAATAGCTGCTCGCCGGTTCCCTCCTGCATCTCACTCACTAATATATAGATCTTCAAGTTCACGAGTATCATTTATACTTACATTAAAATCTTCCGCAAAATACATACAGACTTACAATCTAAAATATAAGACATCCACTGGCTTTGATTAAAATTTCCTTGAAACTTCAGAGGTGAGAATAACAAAAATAGCCGTTGTGAGACCTTACGATTGATAAAGAAAAAGCAGTGGTTTCAAAAGAATTGAAAGGCTACTGATAAAGCTATTCAGCCGACTACATGTTCAGAGAACACTGGTTGGAGCAGCCCTGGACGAGAAATTAGCATCATTTGAGTGAGTATTTTGAAATGTAGGTACTGAAGGGCAATGTCTGATGCAAGTCGCAGTGCTCTCCCTTCCATAACCTGCTTGGCAGATGACAGTAAGGGAATGACACCTAAGTATTCCTGAAAGACCAGAATTACTTAGGTTCAGAGAAAACCCGGAAATTGAAGCTGCTTGCTTGTAACCTTGCGGAAACAAGAAAGAAAGCAGTGCTTAGCCAATACTCATGCTAATGCAACACTATCAGTTCAAAGTCCGGGATGATTGAGAAACGAACCTCCGGAACCCGGAAGCCAGCGGGCAAAAGTTGAGGGTGGATTGTTCTGTGTTGGGGGAAATAATTTGAAAGACAGAGGCTCACCATGGCTGCTGAGGTATTTAATGCTCACTTCCGAGAGCTTTTCAGAGACACCGAACAATCTACAGGACGACATTTTGGAGCGGCACAGCTTTCGAAGTCCACTCGATCACGAAACTATCGCGACTCGACCCGCCGCGAGCGATGCAACTGCACACGGTGACGGCGATGGAGAAAAAATGGAGGACGAATCCAGACAGAACTTACGAAACTTCAACTTGCTACTTGCAACAACTTTGCCCAGCTTGCAACATTGTTTTTCCCAGCAGTGAGGCAAGCACAAACAAAGCTAGCTTAGCTAGCCGACGCGGCACAGCATTGCCTGTTTTCTGCATATTAATTTTTATTTTTGCAAAATTGCAATTTGACAACACTGTAAAGTTCAGTTAAGTTAGGTTAAGTTTATGTTTACATTCAACATCTGAAACTGCCGCCCCTGACTTTGCCGCCGCTAGCTTTTTGAATTTAGACTGTCACCCGTTTTTATTTTTATGACTCTCTTAACTGTCTCAAAGAATTTTAGGAGACGCTCTGAAGACCTTTCTTAAGTACTTTCATTAATAGCCAAATGCATCCAATCCAATTACTGTTGCATCTGCCCGCCGTACTCAAAACAATCTATGTAGTTATGACTAAAACTAGAAAATTATAGATCACATCATTTACTACCTTTCTGCGGAGAATGGAATCACTTCGTAAGTCTTGATCTATATTTTCCTTCATTTTTTTGTTTTCTCCTCAACAAATAAACTAGTAGAAACCACTTAAGTAGGTGTCTCCGTTTGCGATGTTGCAGACTACCTTTCCAGGGATTTGAAGGGCCTGAGGTTATGCCGTACAGCATCGACTCTCAGCATCAGCATTAATGCTGTATGCCCAGGTAGCGGGCATGTGGCCCTGCGCTTAATGCGCGCAACCCGCCGGCTTTGAGCATTGATGCCCAATGCTAACGTGCCGGCCAGGTCAGCATGGAGCAACGATGCTGAGATTTGATGCTACGTAAGGGACCAAAATACGCTTCACCTTTTGATGCTGGAGCCCCAGCTCTCAGTCTGTTGCGGCATCAATTTTCAGTCCCGCAACGGTTGCAAGTTGCATGTAAAGTAACTTTATATGCAATCTCTTATTTGTTCCCAACCTGTCCCGTTATTACAAGATGAGTGACGTTAGCACTGACATTCTCAAAATTACAGACTGAGTGTTTTTACAGCTTATTAGTAGGCATATAAATTGTAATGAACCACTATGCCTCTGGTCAGAATAACCAGGTAGCTTGATACAATCTAGTATATTATTTACTGTCACTATGCAAATCGACGGTGTAAGTCGGAAAACTACTCAACGGCAATTCTTTAAAGCTGCCGATTTTTCGTCTCTGTGCCAAGAAAATTCTACGAAAACTTCAAGGAATGATGCCAATTTGTTCTCCTTTAAAAATAACATGGAGCCGGAGATTTTCAGACACCGCAAACGAGTTACGTGATTGCTGCCTTACACCGTCGATATGCTCTTTATAGATTAAGTTGTAGCGTTTTTCGCTCTTGCAGTGCTCAATCCTCCTCTGTTTCATTTTCTTGCACGTGCCTTGCAACATTTGGTATCAGAGAATTTAATTATTTTTTCTTTCAACAGATAATAGTACAAAATCCAAGGAGCTGAAAGATTCTGAGGAGGAAGAACTACAGCATGTGGAAAATGAGCTTGCTATTGTGGAAGCTAAATTAAGGTCTTTGATAGCAAAGAAGAATAGTCTCCTAAGGCGGAAGGAAGACCTGAAAGATATTTGTGCCTTGAAACGAAGCAAATCTCAAACCAAAGAAGAGGATTGGAACCATGAAGGTAATTTCTCAAGCAGGGTCTATGATGTAAGGGTTAAATGCACCTCCTCCGAAAGTAGGCATATTTAATAATATAAGGAACTTGCTGGAATCTTGTATTAGTGCACCGCTCTGCAATTAAACTGCTTAGCAGTACTTGAAGAGTTTTAGCCATTACTCAAGCGAAGTGCTCTGTGTGTTTCTTTTCAGTATCGCTATTGGAGGAGGAAGGAATAATCTAAGAGCAAAGCATAATTTCACTTAACCCACAAAAGTGCTACCTAGGTAAATTAGAAGATTTTGCAACAAAGCCTTTCTATTGAAATTCATTTATCCAATTGCAAAACCATTTGCCAAATGTGACACCTCTATAAGTAATTCTTATCAACAAAAATTCCCTCTCCTTTTTATTATCTTCATCTATTTTGTTTTTAATCCCTCAATACACTCATGTATCTTGTTTTTATTGTAGGGTTTGAATGGTCATCCAAATTACGCGCCATCTTAAAATCGACTTTCCTAATAAGTAAATTTCGACCGTATCAACTATCACCGATCAATATCACCCTCGCCAAAAAAGACTGCATACTTATCATGCCTACTGGTGGAGGAAAATCTCTTTGCTTTCAACTACCGGCTCTTATTGAAGATGGTAAGAAAGAATGCAACTTCTGACTGATATTAATAAAAAAAAATTGAATTGAAAAAGGCTTTTAAAATTTTAATGTTGCTCATATGTGTTCACACACTCATGTAAATACGTCTACAGACACAATAGGTAATTTTCTGAAGCAACAGTTCCCTTGAATTGAAAAATTAAGATTCTAGAATGAAAAGTGAAGAATAAATACGGGATGGAACACTAAGTAGGTATGTCTCTCCCTCATTATCTTTTAATTGCATCTTAATTTTCAAAAATTTAAACTAAGGATTAAAATAACTGTGTGAAATTTTTTTTGGAAATATATTTTCTGGCTGACTCAGTCGAAACTAAGTGAGACCCAACCAAAGTTTTGGTCGAGTCATTGGTAATGGAAGTTAAATTACATAGAAATATGTGGTTCAAAAGTACAATCTGTATTCTGGTCACAAGAACTTATCTTTTGTCTTGATGCTTATCAGAGTGTGTAGGTGAAGCTTCAATACACAGGGGAAAAACAGTTGTCGATTTTATATCCTTGAATGTTGAAGAATGGCACACCTTAAGAAGTCAATTCTACTCCCTGAGATGTGAAATAACGGTCTAGAAAGTCAATTTAGTATTTTTAGGATGTATGATTGTCAGCATGTTGTGTGCCTCACAGTTTTCCACAATTGAGAATATTAAATCAAAATCTCTTTTCTTTCCATGTACTTAGGTACTCTGTTTGCAAGAATATAATTATTGAAATGAATGATAGTAGATAAAAAAGCACCAACGCTGGCTTGTTTCTCCTCGAAAAAATAAAACAGGGGCGGAAATTTTGAAACATCGTAGTGGAGGTACGTTGTTTTGCACATCGGTCATCTATGAGTATCTTGTTTCAGTTATTTTTAAACATTGTTAAATAAATTGTCCTAATTTAATTTTTGCAACTTCATCTTTTGTTTTTATTGTCTAACTTGCAGGTTTCACCCTTGTCATCTCACCAATGATTTCATTGATGGAAGATCAAATAATGCATCTGAATAAATTAGGAGTGAAAGCTGAAATGATTTCATCAGAGACGAATCTTAAAGCATCGAATGGAATTTTTCAAGTAATTTTTCCTCCTTATGTATCTTCTTTTTATCACTTAACAGTAATTCTTAAATAAAAGGAGTGTTGCCAACCAATATCTCATTATAAATGTGTTTACGTTTTCTTGTATGGAAATGAAGTTAGGTGGAGTTTCGATGAGAGGTATGAAGTTCCAACTTCAGACTTCACGGAAAAACGAATTAATTGCTATTTTGTCCATTGTCGTCTCTTACCCCAGATTTGCTTTTCAGGGAATGGTAGAATCAAAATCGTCCCTCAAGCTGCTGTACGTGGCCCCTGAGAGACTTGCCAAGAGCAAGAAGTTCATGAGCAAACTGCAAAAAGCACACGAGTTGGGGAGATTGTCAAGGATTGCAATCGATGAAGTCCACTGCTGCTCAACGTGGGGTCATGATTTTAGGCCAGGTGAATCTTGAAGTCAGCACATAGTTATCAAGAACTTGTTTTTCCTCTCGCACGCTGTGTACGTCAGGGAGGCGCTCGTCAAGATTTACAGATTTAAAAATGTCAAATAGCCTCTGCAACAGGCAACATTCTCTAATTTAAATATTCCAATGATGAAACCAGAAAAACAAATCTCTTGAAGCAAAATTTCAAAATTTTTGCATATGTTTATTATTTCAATAAAATATCCGCATTTTTTTAAAAGTAATTTTTTGAGAATATTCTGAAAATTTAAAAAATCTCCTAACATCGCATAATTAAGGTAATATTGCTTGTTCCTCCTTCATGAAGTAAAATGAGAGTGATACATTTTCTGTAAAGTTCATGTTCAGCCAGTAGGCTGAATATGTATTCAGGCTGGTTACGTCAATTTGATTGTCGACTTCTGATTGATCGTATTTTGATTAGCTTTTTTCCCTGGAGGAATGATTTTTTAACTTTTTAATTAACTTTTTGGTTTTTCACGAAATTTTATTTGAGAAAAATGATACAACAAACCTGGAAAAATTCCTTACCACTGACCCATTGTTATTTTGAAATAATGAGTTTTTGTTAATTTGTTGTTTTTTCCCTCTTTGTTTTTTTAAGATTATCAGTTTTTGTCCGTTTTGAAAGACATGTTCCCAGAGGTGCCAATATTGGGCCTAACAGCAACTGCAACAACTAAAGTGATCATTGATGTTCAAAAAATGTTGAGTATTCCAGGATGTATGGTTATCAAAGCCTCTTTCAATCGTCCAAATCTTTATTACGAGGTAAAAATTGTACTTGTTCCCTTTTCCTTGTAAACCTAATGTTAAAGCGCAGGTCATGTACATTACTGGTCATCAAGCTTGACCAGGGACAGTGACAAAAATCCTTCTCCATTCCGACTCATTTCTTACAAATACTGGCCGAATGAGATAGATTTATTTTAAATGCTGAAGTATGCTCGGAATAATCTTTTTAAGGAAGGAGACTTTTTTTATGTGCAAGAAGGCAGAACGTTACTTTAAGGGAACTTATGAGTTCCTATCTTCACCATTTAAAATTTACTGTTGTCAAGGTACACTTTTTCTCAGGTTCTCTTGAGTGGATTTTCAACAACTTTTTGTGTGTGGTTCTTTAGACTTTGTCTAGCTTCAGATGCGAGAATTTTTAAAAATTCCGAACATTTAAATTTTTTATGAAATAAAATATTTATTTTAATTTCATTTAAATAATTTGAAATTGATTGAAAATGATTTGAATTTAATTTTTTTAAAGTGTAGACTTTGATTAGAAAAAACACAAAACAATCATTTTTTTACCTAAAATGATCCGTGAATCCCCCTGAAGAAGGATGTATGTATGCTGTTTTTGTCTGTAATGACCTGAAAGATCATTGGACCCTTTTTAAACGAAATACGGTCGAAATAGTTAAGCACTAGAAAAACCACCGTCTCAGCAGCAGTTTTAGTTTTAACAGTTTCTCTGTCTCTTTAAATGCTTCTAATGTTCAATTCAGGTTGACTTGATTGTAATTTTTTTAATTTAAGAGCATTTTGAATCTTCGAGGAAAGTGTTTCATTTGTAAGATTTTGAGATCTTAGGATCCAAGTTCTGTTGTTATGAATTCTTGAGAGGGTGCCTCAAATATTCTGCTGGTTATTTAATATATTTCTCCTTTACCATAGGTGCGAATCAAACCTACAGCCCAGAAAGAATGCATAGATGAGTTGGAGTATTTATTGAAAAATACTTTTAAAAATCAATCCGGTATTATTTACACAACGTCCATCAAAGACTGCGAAGATTTACGAAAAGAACTGAGGTATAGTTTATCAGGAAGTTTCCACTATTTCTCCTCTATCACTTAATTACCCTCCATTTATTTGTAATATCAGAGAAGACGAAGTTGAAAGAATTTAATAATTATGATTAAGAAGAAAAATATTATGCCTCAAAATTTACAAATATGTAGTATTCTGCATACTTAATTTTACCATCTAATGTTTTATCTTATATCGTAGAAGAGACCTCTTTTTTTTATTTTTTTCAATTTTCATATTCTTTAATTTGGCCATCCTAAAATATCGGTTTTAATTATTCTATCATTTGGGTTTATTTTCCATTCCTGCAGTTGAACAGAATTCAAATCAAAGTCTCTGATTAGATGATTTTTTTTTCATATCATCCGTCTGTCCATCTCAGACTCTATTCATCAAACAAGTTTCATACCGGTAACCAAAGTGCAAAACCACAAATATCCATTGTGGCTTTTCAAAAGTTCCGCTCCTAATTCAATATTTGGAAGAGAAACCAGTCAACTTTAGAGCTGTAAATGTATTTTATATCTTTATATTAATTCATTCTGGTAACAGAGAAAGAAATATCTATAAGAGGTTTTCATGACATTACTGTGACTAGTCTTCCACCGAAAAAATGAAGTATGATAAGAAGTCTGCAACGTCGCAAACAGAGTTACGTGGTTTTGAACTTTGGCTATTGGTATTGAACTTTTTAAATGATGAGAAACCCAGATGATTATCTTAAAAGGAGGCTGCATGTTCATGCAAAACGCATTGTGGATTCTTGCTTTGTTGTTAGTTTTTAACTTTGAATCTTTCTTTACATGTTCCCAGAGCTCGCAATTTACAAGTTAGTGGTTATCATGCCAGGCTGGAACCTGAGATTCGTTCAAAAGTTCACCAGAAATGGCTGACAGGAGAATATCAAGCAGTTGTGGCAACCATAGCTTTTGGTCTCGGCATTGACAAACCTAACGTTCGTTTTGTCATCCATCATTGTCTATCAAAATCCATGGAAAACTTTTATCAGGTTAATTTCTGTCAGACATTTTGTATTTGGACACTGCACGCTCCTGTAGATAAGCTCAATCAGCACCAGTAGATTTTTGTTAGCTGCAGAATAAATTTAAACTGGTAATGGGCCTGTTGCAAACTTTTGCAAAAGCAAAAATAAGAGCTGTTTCTATTAGTAAATGTCTCAAAAATCACGATGAGCGCATTGGCAAAAACGCTTCGAAAACGATACTACAGCACAGATGAACATTTCGTTAGAGGAGTCGTTCCATTCGACCCTTTCGCAATAGCAATACTCAGCATAGCCAACGCTTTTGCGCTCAAATCAGAGTCGGGAGCACAAGACCAAAACAAATCTGTATCAACGGGAAGAAATGGTGAATGTAAGGACGTTGGGTTATTAAAAAATTGTTAGAATTTCGTCCAGGCACATGTGTTTTGGTGGATTGGCGTCAGCCATGTTGAATATTGTGTACAATCCTAGTGCACAAGGGTTGGATAGAACGACACTAACGATTTTTTCACCTGTGCCGTAGTATCGTTTTTGAAGCGGTAAGCTCAAAAAAACGCAAATTTCTCAAGCAGATTGTGAAGTTAACAGTGCATTTCAAACTTTGCCAATGCCCTCATCGTAATTTGTAAGACATTTACTGATAGATACAACTCTTATTTTTGCTCTAGCAGAAGTTTCCAGCAGACCCATTATCAGTAAAACAATCTCTGGGTAACCTTTGCTGCAAATTTTTATTGGAAAAAATAGAAAATTGGTGTAGTTTACCTCTAGATTTTGATGGTGGTTTTTGCATTCAATCATACATTTTCAAAGTAAATGTTCTGAGAAAGTGAATGTTGCTAACACAACTTACAGCTCAAAGCATATGCATAACATTTCTTTTTTTCAGGAAAGTGGAAGAGCAGGAAGAGATGGGCAACGAGCACATTGTATTCTCTATTATAGGCTTCAAGATGTTTTTAAATTAAGCACAATGGTCTTCTCCACGCAGACTGGCCTGGAAAATTTATACTCTATCGTTAAATACTGCCTCGAACCAAGTCGGTAAGTATACATATCAAAAACAGGTGACAATTTTTTTTCTTCAAATCGAGATTAATGAGTATTGTAGGACTACAATATATACTCAGAAAAGAGAGGTATTAGTATATATCTTCCTTTGTGTATCTGCGCTTTAATTTTTCTCCTTAAAACTATATGTCTTCATCCTGTTGAGACATTATTATACTGTTATTCATAGCTTGAAATAATTGTTGATATTTCCATTCTGGAAGGTAACAATAAATGCAAATCTTTAAAAGGAAGAAAAAAAAAATAAAAAAAAATAAAAAAAAAGTTTATACCTCCACCCATTAGAAGGGGAAAAAAGGCTGAGGAAGTATCATGTGAGTGTGTGGAACTGTTTGAAGAAAAAATTTACTCGAGTCCTGTAATTTGTTCTCATTAGGTTTAAAAGTTGAAAATTAGTATGTATCTTAGGACTTGTCCTCCTTTTTTGTCCAGGTGTCGGCGTTCAATTATTGCATCCCATTTTGATGAAGTTTGGGACTACTCAGACTGCGATAAAATGTGCGACAATTGCAAGAAATCTAGACAAAGCACCGATATGGACATAACTCCCCACTGTTTAACCATTTTGAAAATAATAGAAACAGCAATTAATGAAGACACAAAATTAACTGGTAAGTTGACGAAAATGACTGATCGTATTCATACAATTTTGGGACCAATTATTATTCTCCTATCTGAATCTGAATTGTGCTTTCTCTAACTTCAGTTGTAAAATGTAACAGGAATATTATGCATGAACTATTCGCTGTTTGGTTTTCTTTCACCAAGTGCAGTGTAAATTTGAGTCAACAAGTTGAAAACTGACGTATAAAGTTATGCTGTGAGATTTTAATCATGATTTCAACCACCACCTGAATCAATGCAGTGCAGCTTGAAATAATTTGTCTTTTGTAAGTTGAAAGCCAACATCCAAGAAAAAATCTAAATTTTTTTTGTCATTTTGAACTAATATTTTCCGAGCCTGCTTTCTTTTCTTAGCCAACCTCGTTGACTCTATGATTTTTTTTTTTCTTTTCAGCTCAAATGATTCTCGACATCTGGTTTGGGAAGAACAATAAAATAAAGTGCAAAGTAGCAACTCCTAAATTTCCTCGCGAAAAAGCGGAGAATATTTTAGCAACATTACTTATCAAAGGAATTCTTAAAGAGGATTTCCATTTCACACCGTATTCTACAATTAGTTACATGAAAGCAGGTATAGTCTTACATTTTCCTTCTTCTCAACCTGCCTACACTTTAACTTATTCCAACCATTCACAAAACAGATGTATCCTTCAAACATTTCATAGATATTCCAATAACATATGTATTTGAGACAGTCAATTTACAATGAAATGGTTTCTCTGTTTTTCCATCTTCCGCTTGGAAGCGCTTCTCGGCTCACGTCTTGCTTAAAAACGAAAATAATGGGAAAATGTTTGATTCTGCAAATCAAATATTGAAATCTTCATTATCCTTAATGATATTCATTCGAGACACACCCAGGGCCTGGGCACAGGGAGATGAGCATAAAAAGTGTATTTTTTTTACTAAAATAATTGCAGTAGCATTTTTAATCTCAAGTCATTTGGTTTTACAGGGTGTTTGCCGGTCCCCAAAAGTCCCCGGTTATCCCCGATTTGAAAGGGTGTCCCCGATATCCCCGAAAGTCCCCAATTTTCTTGTTCAGGTTCCCAAAAAATGACAAAAATCGTCCTAAACACCGGCATTTTAAAATTTTCCCTGCCAGCGGTGGCAGCGCAGTATATCCAGGAATAAAAAGCTGAAGTGTTCCTCAGTTTTTCGTATTTTTCATGGGTTCAATATGACGTGTAAAATATAAGCCTTTTAACGCTCTAACTAGCTCCCTTTCTCTTACTATTGCAGGGGAAAAAGTCCCCCATTTTGGTTCTTCATAACTGGTAGACATCCTGAAAAAAGACAATTCCTCTACAAAATTATTTTATAATAGAAAGGATGATAAGTTCTTGAACCATCAAAATGCACAGGTGCATCGCCTTAACTCCAAAGGGGCTAAATTTTTAGCTTTTAAAAAGCACTATTTTCTGTGTCTTTTCATAATGATTACGATCCTGATGCCCAAAGGCTCGGTTTGTGATTACCACAGCTGTGTTGATGGCCTCTTGTCTTCTGAACACCAGCCTTTCCTTTTAGACGGAGCTAGTGATTCGATCTTCAACTTTTAGATAATCTTTATCACTATACAGGTTTTATCACTATAAAGTCCCATCACACCAGTATCAGGCATACTCCTGTAACTTTTGGAAAAATTTAGATAGAAACTTAGAATTTTATGTGAGTGCTCTAAGGTCAGAGGAAACACTTTTTTAGTACTAACTACTTAATTTAAAACTAACTCAACTTTTTCAACTCACTAAAGTCATGATTCTTTTTTTCAGGTCCAAAACACGCATCAGTATTACACCGAGGAGAAAAAGTCACCATGCCCATCAAAGGGATTTCATCTGAGTCAACTTCCTCACAAAATGACAAAAATGACAGGGTACCAGATTCTTTTGCTTCAAAAAGCAACAGTGGTTCTCATACCCAATCCAAAAATAAACCTGATAACGCAACCGGTGTCTCCACTAAGCGATCAGGGGGAGTGGCGTGTAATGAAAATGTTATCAAACCTAAGAAGTCAAGAATCATTATTGTTTCCAGTGATTCAGAGTGACTGTTGTTTTAATCAGTTACAAGATAAGGACCTACTTTACTAAAATTTAGTGGAGAACCAAGTTATAGTTTCTTCCCCATCAATAATTGTACGCAAAGTATTTGAATTATATGAAAAAGTTAGCATCACCTTACAAAAATGTCTGTGATAATTTCTGTAGATTATTTTGTATCTAATAAAAAAATTAGCTAAGTTTTTGTGTACGTTAATTTTTTTACGTATAATTGGGCCTGCAAAAAGTTCCTGGTCATCCCACTTTTCGAACTGGCCTTCTCATTTTAAGAAGCCTTTTTTCCCCCAAAATTTGCGAAGCTCTCACCTTTTCTTAGACTCTTTTCATAAAATGCTTTGATCTAGAGAAAAACATACAAGTACCACAATTTTATTTTCATATCTCATTGAAATTTGGAAGTTTTTGATAATTCTAACATATTCTACATACCTAAATACTTCATGAAAAAACGTATCCTAGTAGCTAAACTTGAAAACCTGAAACTCAAAAATCCAAAATCTCTGATCGTATTTATTTTTAAAAAGAAAAGCTTCAATTTTTTTCAGAATAGTTATAAGAGGGTAAAGAAAAATAAAAAAAAAAGTAAGAAATAATAAGATGTTTTTCTTTTTAAAAATAAATACAAATGAGAGGAAATTGCAAAACATGACACTTTGAGATTCATGTTTTTAGATTTTAGCCACCCTTGTTTGGGTGCTTGGTTTCTTATCTGTTTAGATAGTGCAAAACTGTGTAAACTTAAAAATAAAGAGAGAGAGACATCTAACTGAAGAGTGTGTCTTGTCCTTTGAAATAAGGTACGAGGCAGTAAAAATTGAATATTTTATTCATGAAATAGCGGTTGATAAGGTATAAATTTCTTTTTTTCACCATTCACACAGGTACGTATACCACGAGTAAAATTAATCATTAATCTAACACTATCTACTATCTCACTTCCTAGAAATTTCGTTTCTAATGAAACAGACTGTACAAATTTAAGCTCTCTACTCACAATTAAACAAAATGTTTTGATATTTAACAGATCTTGGGAGAATTTGGGATTCAAATTGAAGCTGACTATGATTAAACAATAAAGAATAATTTCAAACTGAGAGACCAACGAGAGGACAAAAAAGCAATCTGAGAAAATTTTATGGAAACTGAGAAAGTAAAATAAAAAGAGTTTCTTGATTAAAGGCAAATTTTAAAAAGTATATACAAATTCACCAAAATAGAAGTCTTAGTCTTTTAATCTAAGCAGCTGAAAAGGAAACAGACGAACTCAACAAATGCGCGTAGGGCTTGTATGTGCAGTCATGAGTATCTTCAAGATTTGTGAGAGGATCAAAGCACTGAATAAAAAAGAAAGAAACATCTTTGATGCGTTCCTAGAAAGCACACTTGGTTTCTGCTCCTTGGAAGAACACGTTTTATGGAAAAAAACGTGCGACAACCCCAGAAACGTTTTAATTGAAGAAAGACAAAAATGAATTATGAGCATACATTAACGCTGACACAGGGGGGTGAGGCACACAATTGTAGACAACATACTCGGGCTTGAGAGCAGGGGCTTTCAATTTGATAAATGCACCTTTGTTGTTGGCCGAATCACAATAATTGGGAGCGGAGAAGACCGTGATACATCGACCATCATGCTGAACTTCGTATCCTTCTTGTTTGACTTCATGCGACCGTATGATGAAGTCGAGATTATTGTGATCGCAAAAAGCTTTCGTCACGTCAGGCCCGAATTGAATTCCGACTCCACGTTTACTTGGGATTCGACCCATACCATCTTGAGGATCAGACCACAAAAGCTCACACATTAGACCTGGAAAGTATGATGAAAATATATTAAGATTTTAAAGTAATTCACACAGCTTTTGAGAGAGGGGTTTTTACTTTTGCTTCCAAAACTCTTCAGCCAAAAAATATTTTAACATTGAAATAGAACAGAAAAAAGACTGCGCTTGACTGGCTGCAGAGGAGTTTTTTCTCTCTTTTTTTTTGTATTGGAAATGAGGAGATTGTTGGGGAATTTTGCTGAGACAAAGCATAATTTTGCATACAAAGGAAGCAATGATTTTTTATTTTTCCAGAGGAATTTCTCAATCTCTCACAAAGCTCGCAAGATTTTCAAAGGAGAGGTATGGATATGGGCCTTTTTAGGGTCTACCTACCCTACCTGAATTCCTTCAACTTTAAAAATTTTTGCTCATTAAAGGTTTATAGCTTACACAATGCATCAAGATTTGATCTTTGCTGATCTATTCATAGGTCTCACCCTGACCAAAACATGGGCCTGAGGACAGATTTTGGCGAGAAATGCAGATTTTCCAGTCCTTGATCGCAAGCCCTCAGAACTAGCATTCTTCACCAAAACCGGCCGTTAGGCCCATGTTCAGGCCATGTAATATTTATTATCACAATTGGACGTATTTCTGTCAAATGGAACTAAGCGCCATTGGGGGAGGAAGGTAGAGGGTGGGCTTGGATTGGCGGCGGAACCGGGCGTCGGGCTCATTCGTTCCTATACTCGCAATGCTTTTCCATGGCGCTTAGTTCTGTTTGACAGAACGCGCTATCCAGGATTCTACATTCCTCAAAAGGAACTCAAAGTAGCGCTTAGTTCCGTTTGGCGGAAATACGTCCAATTGTAAATGATTGTTGGTATAATTGGAATCATTATATTTTTCCATCCAAAAGTAATTAGGCTACCAAGATTTAAATTTTGACCCTCCCTTGCACTCCCCCCTCCAAAGTTTAGAGCAGATATGAATCTGGGAAAATATGGTTTAAATCAAGCACAACCCATATGCTTAGTTTAAGAAAAACTTCAAGGTAGGAGCAAAAAATGTGGTATTTGGCATCAAAATCTCCGCAGTTTTCTTGAAAACTGATAAGTCAAATCTAATGAAAAATATGTATGTTTAAAACTTTTCTGTGAACTGTTAGAAATGGTAAAGAACATTTTTGGGAGACAGATGAAAAAGACGGACTAATTACCTTCTTCAGGAGGTTGCCGATTTCTATCAATGTTCCTGATATCATCCAGAGTTACTCCATCCTTTGAAAAGAGTCCACCGTGCATGATTAGAATCCTTTTATTGATACAATGAGCTAAGGGTAACATATTGTAAACCTCAGTGAACAGGTCGCACATTTCTGATGAATATTTTGCTCGGCACTCTCCAAAGAAGCCATAAATTTGATTCATATTGTCTGACTCATGGTTTCCTCTAGCCATGAAAAATTTGTCCGGATACAATAATTTGAAACCAAAGAGGGTGAATATACATTCAATTGAAAAACTACCACGATCAACAAAATCACCATTGAATAGATACGGATTTGTTTCGGAAGGCTGACCATTAATTTCAAAAATGTTGAGTAAATCATAAAATTGACCATGAATATCACCACAGACAGTAATTTTTTCATTATCTGGAATGTTTATATCTACTAGGGTGGGTTGTTTCTCAAATAAGCTCTTTACTTGCAGCAAGATCTGTAAAAATAAAAAATTAAAAAATATGATAACATACAAAAAAAAGAGGAGGAAGGAAAGTAATCATTCGAATTTAAATACAAGGGGTGATGGCAAAAATAAACTAATATTTAATACACTGCCTGCCGACATTGACAGTAAAATTGTTTTTACCCCGCTGTAAAAAACCTCCCAAAATGAAGGTAAAATTATAGCAGTAATAAAACAGCTCTTGAACCATGGTTACCATTTAATTAGTGTCAATCGAAATCAGCTTTCCCATGTTGGTCTTATGAGCTGAATGAATCATAATATGAATACTTTAGTGTCGAGCCCTTGACTCCGACAGGGCAGGCAACATGTTCATAAAACATGGACATAATATTTCTTGGAAGCAAATATTTAAAAATGAAATTGAAATAATCCCAACTTCATCTTCAATGATGAGCCAGTCTGTACATGGTCTCTTCAGGTGACTTATAGCATGAAAAGTTGTTCCGATTACCAACCATCCACCCAATATAACTGATTAAAAAACTGAGTAAATACATTTGATGACATACTCTTGAGGCCTCTTGCTACATTCTTTTAACTATCATCTTTTAACGTACAATTTTCAAACGGAAATAATCCAAAATGTTTGTGCTAGAGCTTAGAGATATTTCAGAGTAAGAGTTTTGAAGATATACTTGAAAAAGAGAAGAGGAAAAAACTGTTTTTTAAGTTCATTTGTGCATTTTGTGAACGCTGTGCATAGATGGAAGACAAATGTGAAGCAAAATAAAACTTGGGTTAGGTGGAATTTTAAAACGCTTGGCTAAAATAAAAAAAAAACTTACTGAATAAGCATATTTTTTGTGAAGCTTCTTTTGGTCTTTATATGTCCTCAGCAACTCCTCCATGAAAGTTTTTGTCACTTTCCCATTATCGAGAGCAGGCCCAGAGTAGTCGTCTTCGATAGCTTAAAAAAATAAGAAAATTTGTTTTTCATTCCAAGTGTGACAGTGATCATACTTGCGTCAATATTTATTTATTTATCTATTTATTTTTTTATTTATTTTTTCATTTCTTTTTACGAAGTTTTTTTCCGTAGAATACATTCAATATTAACTATAATTCTCGCTGATTTTGTGCCACGCAAAGGTGTGGTTGCACTGGACAGCCAGAAATGTGGTCGATTCAATTTTAAGTACTCTAGCTGAGTCTACCATACATATGGCTGGCACCTAAGTCAGTGAGGAATATAGTTGAGATTATCATAATTTGTTCCCCTTGAAACTTAACATTGAAAGTATTGTTTGGAAAAATGAATAGTGAGATAATTCTGTAATAATGTGTAAAATTCATACAATATCAACTTGCATGTTAAAATTCTTAGAAGCAAAGCATTTGAGGTTGTCCTCCTTTCTTGAAGTGTTGTTGAGTTATATTTTAAGGATATTACAATTTTTTCCTGATCAAAAACACTTATTATGATTTCTAAAATTTACCTTAATACTTATATACAATTAAAAACACTTGCAACTTGCACACACACTAAACAAAAAATCCCAGGGATTTTCATTACTTACTCATCGATTCGAAATTGATGGAATCAGCAATGCTTCTTGTATCATTTACAGCTATTGCTTTCTCAAACATTAATTTCTTGACTATTTTATTACATTCATTATATTTCATTTTAGCATCACTATCATTTGGACGAAACTTAGTAACCTATAACAAAATATACACACATTAACATTATGGGGAAGAAAAAACACAAAAAAAGCGACAGACTATGGAATTAAAAATAACGAAAAAATCCAAAGTGGTTTTGAGTAATAACAAAATAAAAAGCATAAGTAACCATGAAACCCATCTCTAAAAATTTCAGGCGATGTTTTCTTCATGATAGCTGGCACTTATCTATTTCATTATATAACCATTTTACTTGAATGGATATCATTATGACATCAGAAAGCTAAGCCTTGGAAAAAATTCTTCCTGGGAGTTGGGCTGTAGAACTGCCAGAGAGTAGACTCTCTTGTGATTCGAAAATAGTTTGATCAAAATGTTAAAAGTTACACATAGTTCCATTGCTACTCACAGTTGCTAAATCAGACAATGCTTGTTTATATTTTCCCAGAGACATGTATGCAGCTGCTCTCCGGTAGTAACCCTTGATGTAATTGCGGTCTACTTCAATTGCTTTCGACGCATCATTTAAGGCATATCCAAAGTTTTCTAACTTGAGGTTAGCAATGCTTCGATTGGCATAGTAGATGGCTGAGCAAGGATTTGTTTCTATTGCTTTGGTATAGAGCTCAATAGCACCATTGAAGTCTTGCTCTGAAAGAAAGGAAAATCATATTCGTGAGAACTTCTGAAAACAACCAGAGATACCTACTTGCACGATAGGTTCGTTTTTCTTTGTTTTTTCTTTTTTAAAAAAACAGAAGTAGGTAATGGGAAAAATTTGGCAAAATCAGATGGCACTGCACCACCACTAAGTGGATAATCAATACAAAATCCCAAAAGTACATCTGATTAAATTTTAGAGAACTTCACTGACCAATTCCAAATGAAGACGAACCAGATTTCAGAGTCTTGCCTTTGCTTCGATAATTTTCTAAAACAAGTTGAAATTGGTTAGAGGCTTGGTTTGAATGGAAAGTATGTTTCACACTTTACCTTAGGATCAAACAAAACCAAATATTGTTTAACAATTATAAGTAAAGTCAATCATGTTTAACTAATTGTAAACACCCTTCACAGTCTGGATATTTGATTCCGCCCAATTATTACTTACGTACATGAATCAATCAAAATATAGCAATGATACTTGAGATCAAACCTACAGCTAAAGACAACATTTTTCTTTCAAGTTCCTGTGATTTCAAACTTCAGAGTCACACTGTTTTTTCGGAAAAATTAAAACCTTAATCCCTTTCATGTAAAACCCATCACTCGCTCTGGCTGAAAATTGTTTTTTACCATTTTCATGGATCCCTAGGAGGCTAATCCTTCATTTAATCCTTCAATCTCCTATTCTGCACCCAGCCCCAGGTGACTCTTGCTTGAGACCATCCAGCTCAGGTTGCCTGATCAGGAATTGAACCTGGGACCTTCTGATTGCAGGGGTAGCACGACAATAACAACGCAGGAGGCCGACAACATATCTGTGGTGAAACTGCAGAAAAGCATATTTGGCCTTGTGGCATTGCATACTTCCTGGTATACTGTTATTTTTTAGTGTAAAATCGCTATGGACATGATTCAACCTTCATAAAAATAGTTATTATTTTATTCGAGACCAACTATCTTCTCATTGGTTCCTGAGTACTTAGCAGCAGAAGAGCTGTAGCAAAACTCGGCTCTGCGCAGCTAGCTTCCAACAGGTGTACATCTCCTAATCTATTAACACTGCCAGAAATTTATCCAAGAAAGTAACTCTCTGTAATAATCATCATATACATCATTTGGCCACTTTTTTCTCCTCTGCTCTGACATGGTCGTTGCTGGACAAAAGTCCGTTCAAAGTGTAGTTGTTCAACCTCTATCTACCTATCAAGAGGATTCCCTACTATGGGTCATAGAAAAACCTAATTGGATTACAATAAGTTCCAAGAAGATGCATCCCTTCCTAGGGTCCGCTGACATGCAACCAGGCTACAGAGCTGACTATCGTTGTGTTGTTTTTCCCATTGTCATTCAGGATAGTAAATAACCGTTGAATTTAATTACCAGGATCTCATCTTAGGAAAGTGGTTGTCTAGAAACAATGGTGAAAAGGTGAGAAGAAGCATCACTCAACTGTTGCGGAAAATAATCACGAAGAATAGAGGCTCTTCGGGGAGTTGAGTAGTGTCACAGAACAAGACTTCACAACAAACTAAGAACACCCTCAACACTCAGATTATGTTCAATGGTAAAGAGCGGAATTGACTACTGATGTGAATGGTTTTGATTTTAGAAATGAGAGGAAATGAGGTGTAAAAACTTACTCTTATACAGCTCGTTCGCTTCAGCTTTGAATTTCTCAGCCTGTTCTTTGGCTTCCGGCGAAATATCAGGCTTATCGACACCATTCATATTGGAAAATAATAATATTAATTCGAATCAGAAGAGGAACGGCGAGGAAATTTTCTTCAAACCGATGGAAAATTAATTTAAGAAATGAGAGACGTTATCAATATCATTATCACCGAGTTCAGAATCGTGCCTCACTCGAGGAAGAGGTTAGATTACTCATGGGCTTGTTGTTGTTGTTTGTAGGTTAAGCGGAGAACTCGTGAACTAATGCAACTTGCGATTCTGATTGGTTGATGGCGACGAAACCAGACGAAACATAGAACCGCTTGAATTTTTCCCTCCCTCTTTGAAAAAAAAAGCGGGAGCCTCTCTTGCGACGAACCGTAAATCTGTTTCTTTTGTTGGTTTATCATCAAAAACTAAAGGCTACACAAGTCTAGCGAGTCGTAGGCTCGTTGGCGTAGAGAAAAAAAAGGAGGTGTTTGCATCTTGAGGTTTGTTTACCCTGTGACGTATATGGTACAACCTGGCCAGCGAAATCCAAAATTCAAAGTATGAAAAAAGAACCATACTTAATGTCCCATTTATTTGCTAAAATCAACTCATGATATAATTTCAAGCACTTTTTATGGAATGACTTTTTTCCATAAATTACACCATTTCTGAGAAAATTGATGATAAAAGTCGCTGTATCGACCTACGTAATAAAAAAAATCCAAGATGCCCGAAATGCAAACACCTCCTTTTTTTTCTCTATGGCTCGTTGGGGCAATTTACGTAAGGCAAGGCACCTAGAGGAGAGGGGGGGATAAAAGGTACTTTGCAGGGGGAGGGGAGGGGATCAAGTACTGCCTCGTGTAGGGCAAAACGTTGCTTTTTTTTTTTCCTTTTCCTGGTGGGTTGCCCCATGCACTGCGACCTCTCGATCTATTGTGCCCAGTTGTTGGTTCCTGGTTAGTCTCAGAAGCCCTCCCCTTCAACAAGTTGGAGGAGAATGCCCGCAACTAACTCAGGTGCTAGACAGTCATCCCAGGAGTTATCTCCTCGGATGTCCTGTCTTTTCTTTTCCAGAGCTTCACAGTCGAAGATGATATGCTCTGCAGTTTCCTCTTCTACCTCACACAGCCTACACTTTGGTTCATCCTTGAAGATACCCATCCTGTGCATGTGTTTCCGCAGGAGATTGTATCCTGTCAGTAATCCCGACAGTATACCTAGCTGCTCCCTGCTACGATGCAACAGGTTTGCAGTCATTTTCCTTGAGTAGCCTTCCAGCATTTGCTTGGAATGTCTCATGCCTTCGGCATTCTGCCACTCTTTGTTCGCCTCTTCCATCACCCAGTCCCTCACTGTTGTTCTGAATCCTTTTTAAAACGTTGCTTGAAAAGAGGAAAAAATGAAATATTTGATAATGAGTTTCTCCAGAAAAGTATCTGAAGTTTTTAAAAAACAAATTAGAAAACAAGATTTTTTTTATCCCCTTTTAAATCACCTGTGTTAACAATACAGCAAAAGGGAACATTGGATCCCAATACACGGTGAAACTCCCAGACTACCTATGTAAGTATCTTGTCTACGGAGTTTTATATATCTGCTCCTATTTTATTTTCGTAAAGGCAATCAATTCAACATCATTCTGTGAAGTTTTCACAAATTTTTTTTTTACAACAGAGAAGAAAAATCCTAGAGGATTTAAGTAATTGCCATTGAGCAGTTTTTGGTTTAGAAAATAAAGTATGACAGGAAGTCTACAATGTCACAAACCGAGATACGTTGTTTGGAATTTGACCATTCAAATGCATAAGTATTGTATTGCACTAAAAGTATCTAGGAAAAACTTTTACATGCACGGGACGACCGAAAAAAATTGTTTGAACTCATCCTCTATGATAAGGTGATTTTTAACAAAGGTGGTGACCGTAAGAGCAGCTTCCTTAAACTGCTGTCTTCTATAAGCCGTTAATTTTACTGCAGAATAACATCAAACGAAGATTTTTTTTTTTTATTTTTCATCAATTTTCATGATTTTTCCTTGAAAATTTCATGTTTAAGAAAGTTCCTGCACGCTAGTGCGAATCATGCAGCAGAAACGAGGAGCCCTGCCCTCTTATAAAAATACCAAGCTAACCAACCCGAGAAGAAAACAGGATTCTTTTGAATTTGACTCAAGTCAATATTTTCACAACTTCTTTGAGTTAGGTGTAACTTTATCAGCACTCTTAGATGTATGAGTGGATTGACATATTAGAATGGATAAAAAATTTTCTTACCAATTTTTTTATTGACTTGTTTTCCTTTTAAAAAACCATGGCCGTTTGAAGCTCTTTTTTTCATAAAAAAAAAATAAGAAGAAAAAAACCGCCATTTGTGTTTTAAAACCTGACAATGGGCATAAGCTTGAAATGGCTGTACTTTTTTAAAAGGAAAAAAGTCTAAGTATAAAAGAATAGATGAAAAAAATGTTATCCCTTACTAAATGTTTACATCTTGAGTTATACATTTTTGTGGCAACCCTAATATCAACATAGGGGTCAAAAGAAATGAATCACTTCCGGAGTTTTTCAATTTCTTTATTTCTTATATATACTTGTTTTCATTTGAAAACTGCAGTAAAAACATTTTTTTTTAAATAGGCAAAACTGCATTGTAACAGAATTTTGTTTGGAAGATAATGATCCACTAATTTTGTAACCTATCTATGTTCCAAGAATCATGTTGTAGCCAATGGAGCCATTAAATGGGTCATCACTTCATCCTCCAAATCGTCTCTATTTTGGACCGACAGCTGTAAACAGAAAAAAAATGAAGTCATGGATACCTAATAGTAATAGAAAGTAAAAGTAAGAAAAGAGCTATAGCCTTGGATAAATCCATACAGATGTCTCTCATTATAATGTTTCATGAAACAGCGTTTTACTGAGCAGAGCAAACATTCAACCTGTCTGGCCCCAGACTCCCCAGGGTTTTTACTTCAAAAATTTTGACTTCGTCGACGATTTTCTTCGCAATGTTTTTTTATGTGATAGTCCACTTGTCCTCGGCACTTTTAAATTTTTTATTTCTTCCGTCTGTTGTAGTAGTACAGACCGGGCTTACCGGCAAGGCGCCCTCAAGGGGCCACGGCAAGTGGCTACTGCCGTCTGTTGTAAAAGAAATAATTAAAAATATCTTTTCCATCGCTTATGCAGTAAAATTTTGCAATTTGCGCGGTCTCCATGTATTTTCTGGCTAATGTTTGATCAGTTGGGAGTAAAAGTAAAAGGCCCCATAGAGCTATGAGTTATATTTTCTCATTTTTGTTGAAAAAACGTTCTATTGGCGACAAAACCACATCAGTTGTGATGGGCATACAGAATTTCATCAATGGTGGGAGCTGCAAAAACACTAACAAAATTTTTTAAATGGTAAGGCAATTTCTTTCTGCAAAGCAAAAGGTTGCTTTTCCGACAAAAAAATCATTATTAATAAACTCTTTCACAGCCTTCTAAACTTAACTACTAAGCTTTTAATGCTGAATATCAATACAGGGTATGAATGAGTTACGTAAGAGTTTAATTTGCTGTTGATTCAAGACCATTGCTGTTTACAATCTGCCAGAGGATTATTTTGAGAAGGGTGGTTTAGTGAGGCAAAAGATGAAGTTCAAAAATCGTCTTTTACATTTTAATTAAGTGATAAGAAACCGTTCGTTTCCGACTAAATCCTTTCCGGAAGTCTGTCAAAATTTTTACCATTTAAGAAATAAATAATTTGCACAAAATGGCGATAAACAAAAATATATGGCTTTTTGCAGCACCCATTGCAAACACAAATGATTATAATTTGCAGCTTTATGACCAATTTGATGGGGTAAGCTGCCGCTAAAAATTTTTCTTTAAAAAAATCCCTTGATCGCTGGTATCATTCCTAAAGTCGGACAATCATCAAAATTTGTGCTCCTGGGTTAGAAATTGCTGCGCCACCACTTTTTTGCTGTAAAGAAGTGATTCAGTCTGAGAAAATGGATTTTACGAAATTCGCGGCCTTCACCCCCACCTGCCCTGCAACTTTTTAGCCCTTAAAAAGAGCTTCCATTTAACTTCAGGTTACCTGACCCATAGAAGTAGTGGCGCAAATAAAGATGAGCAATTAACAAAATAGGTGCAGATGACTTACAGTAAAAATTTTCGCTGATGGAAGTTTTCGTAAGCTGTCTACAACTGGCATTGGTCGAGAGGGTATGGTGGCAAGAATCACTGTTTCCGAGTTTCGAAATATTTCACTAACTTTCTGCTTAAATTTATTGCTGTATAATTCCATTTTTCCAATTTCATCCAGTATTAGGACAGGCGAACCCTAAAAAAGGAAAGAAAAAGAAAAACCCAAGATAACAAAGCTAGAAGAATTGGACATTTTAAATTCACTGGCTAAATCATGTATTGACTGACTGAAATGATAGGATGAAACAGCTCTAAACCTTACAAAATCTGAGTCTTACTTGAAGATTGTTTAAAATGGGCAGAGCAATAGATTCAAAAGCCTGAATATCGACAGCATACTTCCCAACTTTCGGAAAGTTCCCACATTGTTGAGATCTGAAAAAAATTTGAAGAAGACATAGTAACAATTGCAACATACGGTAAACTTGTCTCTGATGAATATTTTTTTGGACAAATTGAAAAATTTTGGTTCTTATCAAATGGGCCTTCCTTACGCTGAGCGTAGAAAACAATAGGTTTCGATGGCATTATTGTAATTTTCAGATGTGCTTCATTCTTGCGATTGAAAATTTCTCATCACTTACTCTCAAGCAATGTGCACTGAGAGTCATTTTGCTTTGTCACAGGTGGATTATTTTCAAAGAAAGTTATTCATTTAAACGCTAAACGTGCTACTTCATCTCAATGCTTTGTTTCGCAACAACGCAGTTTCAAAAATAATTTCGTGTACAGATTTGTAAAGGTGCAGAGAGAGATCTTGTATTCCAAAATTTTAAAGTTGAGATAAAAACCATTCCCTGAAGAATGTAAAACAAATTGGTCTATAAATTGACTGATCCATGAGTACACCAGAGGGCGTTTTATTAGATAAGATGAGGTCCTTCTCTGCGCAATGATCTTTTTAAATAAAACAATGAAAGATAATTACGTTATTCTAGCAAGTGGTCCTCTTTTTCCGTCCAAACTTACAACATCAAAGCCAATGCGAGATCCATGTTCCCTTTTTTCCTCGGTGTAAAATCCTTGAATTTTGATTCTGTTAGTTCTGAGCCTTTCACAAATTTTTTTAGTTAGAGTAGTTTTACCCACACCTAGACAGAATAAAAAGAAACTGATTATGGATGAGACAGGCATATGTGGCGTTTGGGTGTCGCAGGACGCCAGAGTGCGTTGTAGAGCGACTTTAAATATATGTAATATGGATGAGAGGAATTGTAAATTGGACTATGAAAATGAAAATTTGATTACATAACAAAACTGAAAGAAAAAGATGATGGTATTAAAGACGTAGATGTTACTTAACAGTTTCAAGATTAGATTGCATTTAACAGAAAGGAACCAAAGCGATTACGGAGCTGTTAAAATGAAACATTTTCATCTTAGTCTTAAAAAAAGAGACATCCTATGGAGTGATAAATAGGTTTCCTTTTTCTCCAACGAAATTTTTAATTTTTAGGGAAGCTATTGTGTTAATTTTATCTTTGTATCTTTGTATATTTAGTATTTTTTAAAGCAAAGAAAAAATGGTGCAATTTTGAAAACACTGTAATCCTGTTGGTTCCCTTCTGCGAAATGCGGTTCAATTATCATTCAACCCTTCAAACTCTGCGTACGCATGAAACCTTACGCCTAGTCTCCACGGGGCGTTTCATGGGATCTGTCTGAGGTTTGCATTGCAGGAAAGAAACTTCTAACCTTCATCCCCCTTAAACACAGCAATAAAATTTCATCTCCTACTCTCTGAGTCGCTCTTAGGACCCCACAAGGACTCTGCTTGATAGTGCAATTAGTATTTACTAACTCAATATATTTCCCAACTTCGCAAGTGAGATTTTTCCCTGGGACATATCCCATGAAACATCCCGAGGAGAAAAGGCCATTAAAATTAGAAAAGAAAAACTGAGTGGTTGAGTTTTGGTACTTACCCGGAGGACCAGTCAAGAAAATATGCTGCAATCGAGGACGAACTTCAGCCATTTGGCACAATTTAGATTGAAGGTTTGATGTTCCGAGGAGTGGGCAATCGAAATACTATGTACAAGAGCAATCGGTTGTTGATGTCATTCCTTGGGAGAGGATACTTTCATCGCGCAGTCATTCAAATCAAGTTTTCTTAGAAATGACACACTCCTCAGCAATGAGTTTTTAATTACCTGAGACATGGAAAACATAATAGATTATTATAGGGCACAAAAGGAAAGTTCAGTTTTTTAAATCATGGGAACATTTGTAGACTCTCTTAGCTTTGAAAAATTGATAGATCAATTTTGAAACAATACTTAGTAGTAGAGGAAAAGTATGTAGTATGTTATGAAAAGAGATTTTTTGATACTCTTGAAAAAACCAGAATAAATTTTTTTTATACATCCACAAGTGTTGGAAAATAAATTTCAAACCTCAGAATCCCATTAAAATTTCAAAGAAATACGATTGTATTAACTTAACTTCAGACCAATATTTAGGATTCATTGATTCCTATAGATGGAGCTAGTGAAGGGCGAAGACCTGCGGGTGATTGTTGAATTGCTATTTAATGGCCTAGATCGATAAGTAGCATTGTTGATATAGGGAGTTACCGACCAAGGTCATTTAATGAAGATTCAACAATCGACCTGCTGGAGTCACTTACAGCAACCAGCTCTGAATTGGACATGGACTAGGCTGACTTCCACTGCTTTCCTGAGAAGTCAAATGAAAGTCATGGATAAATTTGCAGGGTATTTTATTTGATGACTAGGTGCTAGAATGGTGGGAAAAACTGGGCAAATATTCGTAGAGCCTCCATTCATGACAAGTGGTCAGAGCTGGCTCCTGCTTTCAGAGAGGGCAAACACAGGGCAATCTATCTACACTCTACATTGTGATTAACGAAACATTTTGGTTCAACATGAATTGGAACAACTAATATAATATGGACGTATTTCTACTATGGAACTATGTGCATTATGACGTGAGCCCTGAGACCCATAAGAGTATATGCATAACAAGGCTTACGTCATAATGCAGTTCCGTTTGATAGAAATACATACGTCCATATGAGAGTAAAATTGATGATTTTCACAGGTACTTAAGATAATTCTTTTATTCATTACTCTTGGTTAAATTCCAGTTTTTCCCTACATAACTTCGCTTTTAAGGATATTCTAATGCAAAGGATTTGAATATCATTGATACTGCCATTGAAAACAGAGCTCTCTTCAGAATTTTCTTTTTTCTCTTACATTGCCATAATTTCTTAATTTTCCAATTTCCTGAATTTTTTTGCCTCTCCTCACTTCAAAATTTCCAAATTCTCTAACTTTCCCTGAGAACAAACCTTTCATTTGGATTACTTTCTTCAGAGTATACTGGCCTCTGTAGAATGTTCAATGATATTTCCACTTCTACAGATTCAAATTGTGGAAAAAGGCACTCATAAGCTGTTCTTGAATGGCAACAGCTGAAGTTCCTGAGCCAATGCGCTTCTCATATAATACCCCGACTATTCAAAGTCGCATACACTTCCTGACTTCAGGTTTTCTAGACTGCTGGAGACTCTGTCTTTCACTTCCATTCATTCCACATCAATGCAATGGGTAAGTTGCGCTGGTCAAAAATTCGAGTTTTGATGATGTAAGCTTACAGATTAATGAAAAATAATAAGATCTGTTCAAATGCCAAGTTTCGACATCCAATAATGACAGAAATATTGCTCATCGAAAAATACAGCTTGTAACGTCATCCACCGCAGCAGTGCATACCATAGTTTTTTTTTTCCATTTTGGTTTCATCCATCTGTGATACACTCATTTGCGCAGGCCGCATGACTTGAAACGCGAATATAATCAAGGTGGAAGAAACTATGGTATGCACTACTGCAGAGGATAATGTCAGGATGTGTTTTTTGATAAGCAATATCTCTGTTGATATTGACATGGAAACTTGATATTTGAGCGGATTTCATTATTTTCTTGCTGATCTATGAGCTTAAACCATCAGAGCACGACTCTGCCACTAGCGCAATTGATCTATTAGAATAAAAAAGAAAATATGCAATTTATCACTTATACTGAGATTCCCTAGACGTATTTTGATGCACATATACATTATCTTCTGCAGCATTCTTTTTCACTGACATATAAAATTAAAGTCTCCAGCATTTTGTAGTGTACAAATTTAAAAAGAGTCCCTGCACTAATCCAAATAAATCTGATGATGATAAAGGTCTTGGGAATTTGTTACTTCACCTAATATAGTTATTCTTACTACTGGTGGTGTTTGTTAGATTATCAGTCGATCTGTTTTTCATCAAATCTACCCTCTTTAGTTCCTCACTTAATTTTACGCTCTCGATATTTTCCTCTAAAAAGAGAGAGCAAATGCAAAGGAAATAAATAAGAACAGATACTGAATTTAAAAAAAAAAATGATTTATTTCTGTTTTTGCTTCTCCTTCCTTGGATGGTAACAGAAACAATGTTTGAACTTACGACCTAACAAAAAAATATACATTTAATTTACAACAGTAAAAATAATAATTGAATTGGGAATTCAAGATATCTTATGATAGATATTTTGAAATGGTGACTTCGATATTCTAAGATTTACGTGACTTTTTAGGACTCGGCTTTTTTTGTGGCTCCGCAGAAGGATCCACACCCATTTCATCTAAGATTCTTGGAATTTGCTTGATGATATCTTCCGCGGTGGCTTTAAAGTCATGGTCTGCCCAATAAGCTTTGAGCTTGCTCATGGCTATACCCATTGATGGTCCACCTGGGAATGAAATTAATAAAATTGTAAATGGATTTAACATTATTATCAAGGGAGCATAAAATTCCTAACAGAATGATCCCCGTACAGAGTTACCCTATACAGACCAGACTTACCAGGCCCTTTTGAACCAGACTTTTTACTCGGTGTTTTTTTTTTTGGTTGGTTGGGTAGTTGGACCAAATCAGGTACCTCAGGGATAAACAAAGAATTGACCCCAGTGAATCTGAATTTCATGATCTTGAAGCTCCCCTTGTGCCCCTTCGAAACTAAAAGGTGAGTTCTGACTTAGAAAAGCAGGGTCCTCACCACAATTTTCAAATTATTTGATCAAAATCAGATAGAATGGAAAACTTTGACTGAGTTAATACCACTAAGCAGGGCTGCATTTTCCAAACATATTTTTGTGAAAATTCCTTACGGTTGAATATGTCCCAGATTGGTAAAAAGACATGATTTGAAATAGTTTTTACAGAAAATTGTTGGTCAGAACGTCAAACCCATTCTAGAAAGCAGATAAAGGTGACATAACGATTATTCCCTCACATATCCTTCATGTTCCTTGACATTCCCAGGTTTTCCCGAACTTTTTAAGATTCCCTGACATTTCCTGGTATTCCTTGACCGTGACAATCCTAACTAAGTCCAAAATGGGCCTGTCTCTTCCTGAAATATTGACCCTTAAAGTTAGAACACAGAGCTACCCTAGATAATATGCTAGGTCACTAAATTGAAGGAGAGATCCAGACAGTATGTATATTCAAAGGTTATCAATGGGCCTGTTGCAAACTTTTGCTAGAGCAAAACTAAGAGTTGTTTCTTACAGATAATGCCTCAAAAATCACGATGAGCGCATCCGCAAAGTCTGAAATGCACTCATAATTTCACAATCTGCCTAAGAAATTTGCGGTATTTTGAGCTTCCCGCTTCGAAAACGATACTACGGTACGGGTGAAAATCTTGTTAGAGGAATTGTTCCATTGGCGGCAATACTCATCATGGCCGACGCTAGTCCGCCAAAACACGTGTGATGGGACGAGATAACACCTGAACAGGATTAAACCAGATAACAATCGGCGTGTTTACGTTCATATTTTCCTCGCCCGCCTTAATTGACCTTGAACTCTCCTCGAATTACGCGAGGAACTGCGCAAGCGTCGGCCATGATGAATATTGCCGACGATGGAGCGACTCTTCTAACAAAATGTTCACCTGTGCAGTAGTATCGTTTTTGAAGCGGGAAGCTCAAAATAACGCAAATTTCTTACGCAGATTGTGAATTTATAAGTGCATTTCAGACTTTGACGATGCGCTCATCGTGATTTTTGAGGCATTATCTATAGGAAACAACTCCTCATTCTGCTCTAGCAAAAGTTTGCAACAGGCCCATTGAAAGGAATCCGAATCTGATAGTCCCAAGGCACTCTAGGTCCTTTTGAGACATTAGTCATAAAAGGGCTTTTTTGGACAGGTTAAGTGTATGAAGTAAACATACCTGGAACGCCGTTTTCTCGAAGGATGATACCGTTGACAGGGAACTTGGGACATCGCCACGGCTCAAACTCTTTTAACAATTCCAAATCATTTTTGTACTTCAATAACTCGATAACAAAATCATGAGCTACATTTGGTTTGAATCTGGAATGCAACTCTAATAACTGATAAGGCCTGAAAAAAAAATTTGAGAGTGAGTCATTACTTGATAGGTAACAAATTTTGTTGAGATGTTAAAAACAAAAATAAAAATCATTGCGAAACAAGTTAGTAGAAAAATTGGTATGTTGGTTGCTTTTACCTTAAACGATTGACGGCTTCTGGAGCTCCTCGATGTTCAACAATAAAATAGCATAAATCTCTCTCTAGCGCAGAAAACTTTAATCGGCCATAAAGCTCAGTTACCTGAAAATAAATTTAAAAAATTAGTCGATTGTTAAATAATTTGAGAAGCGCTATGAAAAGGATTTTACTTTCAAGAAAACCCTGCACATTTGCCCTTGGTGCTCAACTTAAGGACAAGGGCATGACTTTTTGAAAAACAAGGAAGGACGGTTGAATCATGATTTAAAGGGAATGAAAACCAGAAAATATGTTTCTGAAGTAATCTACGAGGGTCCTCCAAAAAGTAAAGTTCCCTACCTTGTATCTTCCAAACGAAAAGGGATAAATCAAATCGGTAAAAACATACATATTCGGCATACTCTAAGCTTTAAAACATGCTCAAGTTTTTGAAAATCGGCCAAGGAGTTCGCGAGAAAACTTAATTTTACCGAGACAACCTCCTGTCTCTGCGTGCCCACCTCTGAGGTCAGGATGCGTGGAGAATCGATTATTTCAGACTCGGCTTATTGCCGCTAAACATCAAATCAAAGAGGAATTTAAAAGATTTTATTGAGTAGGCGTTACCGTACTTTTTGAGACAGTCTGCGCATCTTTTTTGACATTTCTGGTATCATTGCAGCAGCTTTTTCATGCCTTCCGCGTAGAAACTTTTGTCTTGGCTCCACAACCAATCATTACCATAGATCTGCACTTCTGAATCGGTTGGGAATCACTTTCCACCACGGAAGTTTTTCATCTTGGGAACAGATGAAAGTCACCTGAGGCTAAATTGAGAGAGTACAGAGGCTTGGGGAAAAATTTTACTACGCAAGGCAACTGATTTGGATATGCAGATCTCTGGCAATGACTGGTTTTGGAGCCAAGACCAGAGCTTCTATGCGAAAGGCATGAAAAAGCTGCTGTAATGATACCAGAAATGTCAAAAAAGATGCGCAGACTATCTCAAAAAGTAAGGTAACGCCTACGCAATAAAATCTTTTAAATTCCTTTTTGATTTGATGTTTAGCGGCAATAAGCCGAGTCTGAAATAATCGATTTTCCAAGCATCCTGACCCCAGAGGTGGGCACGCAGAGACAGGAGGTTGTCTCAGTAAAATTAAGTTTTCTCGCGAACTCCTAGGCCGATTTTCAAAAACTTGAGCATGTTTTAAAGCTTAGAGTATGCCTAATATGTATGTTTATACCTAATATGTATGTTTTTACCAATTTGATTTATCTCTTTTCGTTCGGAAGATACAAGGTAGGGAACCTTACTTTTTGGATGATCCTCGTATGAAGACAATACTGCCATGATCGCCAAGAGAATCACGGGTCTTAAACTTTCAAAATTGAGTTTCCTTCCAAATCAATCTAATCTAATTTAGATGAAATTACTGATACAGCTAAAACAGCAAAAGGATCCCGCACACCTCTTATGGGAAGCTGCACCATGACCGATTGCCTTCTAACTAATGTCATTCGATTCTCCTCAAGATGCTGATCAAAAGTTATAATTGCGCCAACTTTCTACGATGCACCGTTTTCGCAAAAAATTTAAGAGAAGATTCAATTATTCGGCGACAATGAATAAAAACTAACAAAGCATTTGAGAACAGGCCCGATGTAAATAAGGAAAAAACGTAGCGCGTGTCCATCTTCATATCTAAACCTGCCGACTCTGGGGCTATCTCCCTCCCGCTCTCGTCCGGTTGACGTTCCGACTTTCCTGTTCTTATGCTCCTCAAGAATCTGATTTGGATGGTCGAGCAAAACGGCGTGCGGAATCCGAGATAAAATTGCCGGTCGGTGCGGGAGTTCCCCTGATTTGTTCACTCGAGTACTGAAATGAGGAATCTTTCTGGCTTTTTATCGCCGAATAATTAAATCTTCTTTTGGGTTTTTTACGAAAACGGTGTATCGTAGAAAGTTGGCGCATTTATAACTTTTGATCAGCATCTTGAGGAGAATCGAATGATATAAGTCAGAAGGCTATCGGTCATGGTGCAGCTTCCCATAAGAGGTGTGCAGGGTCCTTTGCCTTATTTGCCAAAATTCTTCTTATTTGTATACAAAAACGAGACATTTGAGAAAGCTATGAGTACGCAAAAATTGGTACTGTTTCAGACAAAACAGCTGTAAGCGGTATTATTCCGCTGAAGAGTCAATGAAAGTTATACTTTTAAATGGCTTACTTGGGCGTTTTATTGCATACTTTGTACTTGTACTTTAACTAAAACTTTTACTTTACTTTTACTTAAAACTAAAATAATGGCGCTTTTTTCTGCCAATTACTAACCTGAAAGTTCATTTGCGAAGTGTAAAAAACTCAATGACAAAAGCATGCAGAAGATAACTTTCAGCTGTCTTGGCTAACACTAGCCTAACATGAAAATGAAAAAGACCCTCCATATATGGTTGAAATAAACTTTCTTCGACTTTTAATCATCCAAAAAATTTCTGAGAGTCTTTTGGATGCCCTTTGACAAAAAACGGAGGCTTCTTTCAATGAAATTTTCCACTCAGATGCTACTGAACCCATTTTCTAAAAACTTCATTTTTTTACTGGAAGCTCTCTTTGCTACCACGACTGAATACCTGTGTATAAAAATATTAGGCAGAGAGTTGGAAATGTAACCAACGTGTGTCACAATTCAGTAGACCGAACATTTCAATACAAAGGGGAAAAAAGCTCATTCGAGCACAATTTTCCCAGAAAGATGTGCTGTTCGGTGCAACACTAGTCACGAAAACTAGTGCACTAGTATAAAAACATTACTTGTGATTCAACCGACTGATCATTCTATAAGTCAAGTACATTGGTACTGTTAAGCATCCAAAATTAAAACTGCTGTTGGATACAGACATCTGACACCATCAATAGTATTTTTTAGAAAAATACTTGCTCGGAAGAAGGGCTTTGGGTTTATCTTCCTCTTACATAGTGTCAAGCAGCATGAGTTTATCAAATGTGAGCGAGAAATGGGCTTCAGGATATTTTCACCCTGCAATATTTTTGACAGACTTCACTCTAACCTACTTTGCACCAAAAGTAGGGGGCATTTTATCATCAGACAGCACCAAGTATTGGAGAAACTTAACTTTCTCATGTCATACTTAATGAAAAATATGAGGGAGAAAACTATGAGGTGATGCAATAAAATATGTAGATAAAAGGAAAACTGGAAAGATATCTTACTTCATCTATACTGCTCACGAGAGCTGCTATTAATGAAGGAGGTTTCAACTTAATATTCTTGCTTTGGTTCCAGATTCTCATGAATTCATCCACATTAGAATCTTTTGGAAAACCTGCGGGCAATATAGACCATGAAACATCTTAATGTTGGCAGAAGAAAAAAGATGAACATGGACCTATTTCTGTGAGAAAATAAGTAACTGATACGTCAGTTCTGAGAAAAACAAAAACAAAATACTTTTGGCTATGTTAACTTAACCAAACTTTAGGAAAAAAGGAGAATATTACAAACATAATTATTAAAAGTTGATCTGGGGCAAAAAACCTTGCTCAAAAGAATCTTTATTTGATTAATTTGGTATCAATGAGTGTTCAGATAAGATGATTCTCCAATAAATGAATTAGATAACATAGAATTTTGAGTAAAATTTTAGTTTGAGCACATAAATAATTTCCAAAAAATGAGGAGAGAATGCACGGGCTAGTGTATGCTTCAATTAGTGCATAGCTTTGCTTCACGAAGAGTTCAGTGGCGAAGCATAAAACATCTGCTATCAATAATATTCTATTCGAAACTATGGTAAAAAATCCAACATTAAAGTGGTCCTTGCAACACTCTGATAATTGATTCTTCTCCATAGGATTAAATGACAGATAGATTGATTCATTGCAAAACACTCCATGCCTCTGAAAGAGTTAGAACTTTAGATGCGATTCTCACAAGACAAAGTTCCTTCCAATAAACTATTAAAGTAGGTATTTTCATAATTTAGAATTAGGGTCCAAAGATAAAACTTAAAACTCCAAAAAACTGATTGACTTTCCCATCATGTATGCAGATCTCTTTTTCTTAAATGAAAATGACAATTATGTAAAATATAAATCAATGATTTAATATCCCTGCAAAATTACACATAACTATTCCAATCTCAATTTACTTTTCTAGGGAAGGAAAGCAGGCAGCACTATCCCTCAACATTATCGGGAAAAATTCTTAAAAATGATGTAAATCACTGAAATTGTGACAAAATAATTTTGCTAAATAATCTTGTTAAAAGTATAACATGGGTATTTCTTAAGTTCTCATTACGTATATATGAACTGGCGGAGAAATCAGTCCATTGAAGAACACCAACAATTATTAGAAGCTAAACAATTATTATGGCTTATATCATTTTCTTTTGAATGTTCCAAGAATATTGATTGATGAATGACAAATTTTAGAAAAAACCTACCCATGTGAGGACCCATTCCTAAACTTAGCATTTTCGCCATTAGTTCACCTCCAAAGTTGCCCTCTAAAATTTTTGATAGTTCAGCCCAGATTCTCTCTCCAGAAATTCTATCTAAACCTGATGCATTTTGTCTCATGGCTTCTAAAGTCGGACCATCATGAGCATCAGGATGTTCAGCTATTCTACCATAAAATCTGAAAATTAGAAGAAGAATATTACAGACCACACCAATATACAATCCTGATGAGATTTCATAAGAGGGGAAAATACCTGGGAATCTAAAAAAATAAACTGCAAACATATATTTTCGTATAATTTCTACGTGATTGCTACAGAGTTTAGAAAATGGAAAATTAAATTCCAAGATTTCTCTGACGCGTTAAGGTAAAATTCCCTGAGCGTGAAGATATGCCAAATAGTTCAAAAGACACAATTTGAAATAGTTTTTACGCAAACTCTGTTGTTCTGAAAGACGTCAGACCCATTCTACAAAGCAAATAAGGGTGGCGTAACAATGTTTCCATGACATTTCCAAGATTTTCTGGTACTCCCTGGTTGTGGCAACCCTGTTTCAGTACGGGAAATTTATAGTTGGAACAAAGATATAAGACATGACTTGATGATAATAACTAAAACTTTTGAGAGCTTCAAATTTCTATTTAGGCTTATTGTTTTCTTTCCAGATTTCATCTTATTTTTTACAGCTAGGCAGGATCAACAGTATAAATGATCTCCAAAAATTCTAAAGTAATCTCTTTAAAATATTGTTCTTTGTACCAATCAATGAAGAAGAGGGTGCCTTTTATTGCCGTTTTTAAAGCTCAAGAATTTCAGTTTTCTCAAAACCATAGTTTCCATTAAACATGAGTATTCAAAAGAATTGTTCAATTTCAAAAGATAACCCTTGGATCTCCCTTTAACTACGCTAGTCTTTCATTTATATCCAGAGGGTGAGAATAAGGTGAAGAAATAAGTGTACCGAAAATATCGAAGCATTCTTAAATAATCTTCTTGGATACGTTGAACAGCGTCCCCAACAAATCTTACTCTCCTCTTTTGCAGATCTTCATATCCATAAAAATAATCATACACAGTTCCATCTAAACCTGGAAAACAAAAAAATTTAACGATTTAATAAGTGTATAGTTTTAGGATAAGAGTTAACTGAGTGCATCTTTTGAGAAGGGATATGCTGACAAATGATTTCTACGATTTATTAAATGCTTTGAACTCTAGCAAGAATGTTAGTAGGATGTCAGTATAAGCACAACACTTATTTTGAGGGATACATACTATCGCAGGAAAAGCTAAATAAGGAGAAAATATCTGGACTATCAAAAATTTTACTGGAGTTTCTCACTACTGCTCGTGATTATTGTACACGATTTGGTTGACATTCATCAGGGAAAACAGAGGACATGATAACTATTTCCTTCAAAGATGAAAGAAGAAAAGCCAACGTACCAAGAAACATGGCATTAATGGTCAAGTCTCTCCTATTTGCATCTAGTTTCCAATCGGTGGTAAATTGAACCTCTGCATGCCTTCCATCTGTGGAAATGTCAATTCTTAGAGTTGTAACCTACACAAACAAAAACAAAATTACAATCTCTTGGGATGAAAAAAGATGGGATCTGCAAGCATGTTTCAATTTTATCAAGAGAGATGAGTTGATACTTTTTATTGTTCCATCAATAGAAAAAATTTCATGGTAGAGCATGCATTCATTTACAGGAACAATAAATTAGGCTTGCAGCACAATTTTTTGAAGTTCAATTAAAAATTAATTAAAAAAAAAAAATCGAAATTCAAAATAAGGGACAAAGTGAAATCTGTCAAAAGTGCTATCACTTGGACCTCGTTAAGCAGGAAAGAACCAAGCCAAATCAGTTATAGCCAAATTTAATTGGGTAGTTTACTTTCTTACATGAGGACGGATATACAGATTTTGGTGCAAATGTCGGTGAATTTTCTGCACAGTACAAAGCAAATTCTTTAACATTTTTAATCCGCACAAACGTTCTCTTGTAAAAAACTAAATTGCCCAGTAAAATTTGGTAATGGCTTATGTGGCTTGGTTCCTTTCTGCTAACACCTCCAGACCACTTCATTAAATGCTCCAAGCTAGTCAGATAGACATACAATAAAAAATAATTCCGCACATCTTGGTAGTCAACTGCAGTACTAAAATTATGATATGAAAAAAAAAATACAGTTGATGGAATTGAACTGATATGATGAAAAAAATTTCAATCTGAAACTCACTTCAAAATTTGCTTTGTCATTAATCCTAGCAGTTATAGTTCCATGTTTTTCGCCTCTATTGTTAATCATCCTGATGTTCTCAGTGATGAACATGGACTTCATTTCATCAGGAGTAGCAACAGTTGCGAAGTCCAAGTCATGAGGAGCTTTGCCCATGAGCAGATCTCTGTGAAATTGGGATAAGTATTTTAGAATGAGTACAAAAAAAGTTTGAATATTATTTTTTTGATTGATGATGGACCAATAAAAACTAATTGGCCAAAACTATATCATCAGCTGCCTTTTTGCAAACAAGCAAGGGGACCCTGTTTCACATAAGTTTACCTTTTCCATCCGCTTACAGACACCATAAAGCAAGCAGATGAAAAGAGTAGAAACAGGCTTTGTAACAAGGGAGACAGCATACTGCTGAGGAGGGAATACATGTAAAAAGTAAGATTTTCCTCAACGGAGAAGAAACTCTGTTTTGCATTGAATGCAAAGCAGCACCAAGACCGTAAGTGAAACTAAGATATGCTCAGCCAGGCTGAATCGCATTGTTTTTTTTTTTCAGCCTTTGCAGGAAGTTGGGAACAGGATTCCAATTCTGCAATATTCAATTTTCATCGGTCCACTTTAATGCCTAGGCCAAACTTCCTGTAAAGACTGAAAAAAAACTAACGGGACTGAGGGTTTTGTCATTTTGGGTGCTTGAATCGCAGAAGAGCATACCTTTGTTTCACTTACTTTGAAAGGACACCATGGTCTTTGGCTTCAGAATAGCTGACTCAATTCTGTTTCAGAATCCAGAACGGATTTTTTCAGTAAGATATTTCTATTCTTCACATCGATTATCCTGAGTAATCCAATTTTAAATTGCTAGAATGATTGGCACTAAAACTGCTGATGAGAGCAAGTTGGCACTATTGAGTCAATCCTTAGTAACAATCAAACGCAATGGTTCATCTTTTAAATGAAAAAATAAAATACCTTACAGCTCCTCCTGCGATGCGAATTTCATAGGAATGCTTGTTAAAAATTGACACTAATTTTTCAAGCTCTGGAGTGAATATAGAATGAAATTCTGGTGTATCCAATTTCATGATGGCAGGTTCCTTCCTTGCTTCAGCTTGGGATTTTAGATATTTTGCAGGAATAAACTGATGCTTCCTTCTAATACACCATGCTGCAGATGAGTCAAATATCTGGAAAAGAAAATAATAGAGGACGTCTTTCTATGTTTCACATGTAACAATAACTGCTTGACGGTGGTAAATTGGGGGAAGGGGGGAGGGGTCGATAAATAAAAATCCTGAAGCAAATAGAATGGTCTCTTGTTGACAAAACTTTACGTCCAGTAGGTACTAAGATCACCAATAACGTGCATGAATTAAGAAACATAACAGTGTTATGATGGCTTCTCCTGGGATTTAGTTCACTTATCATGACTAAAAATCAAAATGGGCGAGATTTTATCATTTGTTATGGATTGATTATTTTGTGTCTTGTTACAACTTTGGTCATCTTTAGAGTCTGTTACTTGATCCCTGATTGATTTATTTTCTATCTCTGAAGCATCACTCACTAGCACCGGTTGGAAATGTTAGAAATTAATATGTGGAGAGATATCTCTGACAATTTAATATATTTTCTTTTTTTCTTCTTCTTTTTTTTTGTGCTCTTTCTGTTGCTGAGCCTCGCCGAGTTAAGTAAAAATAAATATATCTCGGAGCTGAAGTAAATTTTTCACCTTCTCATTGTTTTACTTTTTTTATGCCTTATGACTCAAATTTACCGCCATTATTTATTGGTTTTGTCAATTCCACTCTAACTGTTCCTTTTCTCAGCTCAATTTTCTTGAAAAGAATTAATTTTGTACTTTTTTTTTATAATTTTAATCAGTATATTTGGGGAGGAAAAAAAATACAATGGACTAATGAAGGTGAAAAGTTACCTCCCTTGGGATTTCCTTCTTCATTCAAGAACCGAAAGGTGATGATAAAACTATCGACAAAACATCAAACTGAAACTTGACTGATGAAACAAAAAAGTAACTGACAAGCACAAACAGCTTAATTTAGTCAAAACAGAGAGGCGGGGAAAAAAAAAATTGCAAGATGTTGGAGGTAAGTAAGGAATAGTGTAAAGTCGAATGATTAATCTAGTATGCAAAGCAAAATAACTGAAATTAATCTCTTTGTTTCTTCTTTTTTCGGTAAAAATCGATTTTTGAGAGTGACGCTCAATCAAGACCACTTTAGACAAAGCTGTCGCAGCATAGGCTATGACTGCGTCCGGAATTAACCCAACCGACCCTACCCAATCTAAAACTTGTTTGGGCAACCTCGAGTTTACTTTAATGCTCCGTCAAAAATGAGTGCTATATTCTAGAATTTCAAGAGCTTACTGGCAAGAACATAGAACTACAAGTCTTACAAAATCATCTGGAGATTATCTACACAGATTTCATCTCACAACTTGGCTGTTACTTTTTGAAACCATATGCTAGGACTGACATCGTCCAAATATTGCAAACTGTTTGGAAAATTTAAGTGGTCACGGATGTGAATAGGTATGATAATAGGTGCTTGATGGCTGTCAATTGAAGATACCTGAGCAAACTTATTAGCCAAGAGACTATTGCAATACTAGACCCACTCAGACCTACTTTCCAAGCCTGAGACAAATTATTCAATATGCATAAGTTAGATATTGTTAGTAACATTGATAGAGGTAATGATATTGTTTCGATTGATGTGATCTGATATCATCAGGCAGGTATCAAATAATTAAATCGGTGGTACAGTAGATGCTGTACTTGAGATTTATTCAATTTGATACCATCAGTTTAGATTTAAACGATGACAAACTTCTGCATGTTTCAGCGTTGCCTACAAAAATGGAGCGGCCGTAACTACGTTCCTGTGACGTCACACTAGTGGATGAAACTCGACCACCGTTTAACATGTGTTCTTATGGGAGAACGCTTGCACGTGTTCCTTTCGCTCCGATATCTTCTTGGGAGTTGATCTGATGCAAATATTCATAAGAACCTTTTCAAAAGAGGATGAAATTTCACTCCAGAAAACTAACTAATCCATTTACCTATGACATTGTCTGCTAATCGAGGAAATGAAAGTTAATAATCATTACTCCACTCAGATTCAATTGTGCCGATCACGCAAGTTCTGCTGTCAAGGGCCACTCTGATTGGTCCACGCAGCGATTGTCTCACTCATTGATGCACCGATGAACTGGAGAAGCTTGTTGTTTTCGGTAAATATCTACTAGCTTGATGTCACAAAACTGACTAGTTATGGCCTCTCCATTCTTGTAGGCAACGGTCTCAGATGTGAAGATAACCCAAAGTACCTAAGTACCTAAGTAGTAAACAGTGGATTTTGCCTGTCCATGATAGCAGCAATACATGTTATGTCTGCAACGGTCTAAACCTGTCCAGTTGGGACTGGTTCACTTTCATAAAAGTTGGCATCTACAGTACAATATTAATGTAAGAGAAATAGAACTATAGTGATTGGCAGTAAGAGTGTTTACCAGAGGTGAACAAATCACTAGATTTTGCTAGAAACTTTTGAATCCCCAGATTTTTTTTTTCTGCTCTCTCTCTCACATGTTCCGAGAAATTCAGAAAAGTTACCTCTCAAATCGGAACAAATGGTGCTCCTTTAAAATTTGTATTTTCCAAATTCATATTCTGACGTGCTTAAATTAATTAGAGAATAAGTACATCCATTTGACACTTACAAATCTGCAAGCAGGGACACTTTTCGAGACAACTTGAAACAGAAGTTTCACCATATCTTGCAAGAGAAAAATGCACACAATTTCATTTGCAAAAAAAAGGAGTACGATTATTTTAAATTTCTCAAGGCACAAAATGAAACGCGATTCTTTTCAAAGTGGTCTCAAGAATATACTAAAGGAAAATCTCGGTCTTCATGCTGCTAATAAACAACGGCAATATTATTTTGAGGTTAGAACCGTTTTGTTTTGATTCGAGCGGTGCCAGATGTGCCAGCAGATAAGCCACTTGCATGCGTGCATGCTCTTTCGTATTTTCGTGATTTGAAGGCGATTCAATAAACTATTTGACTTGGCTAGCAGTCATATTTTGCCTATTTCGGCACGAGCAAGATAAACCAGGACGCCTTCGATTGTTTTCGTGCGACACGCGCATCCACTGAGCACGAATAGTTGCTTGCAGGCGCTGTGATGAGCTCTGCCTCCTTTTGCACATATGCACGCCCATCGTGTACACTGTGCAGAACTAAGGAAAACGGACAACAATTCGATGGCAAATGTAAAATGGAGATGTTGCATGAGTGAGGAATTTGCGATTTGACTGTTGATTCTTCTGTAAAAGTTATCAAGAAACACGATGGTGCCACTGATTTGCTCTGAAATCAACTCCCAAGCTCAAAAAAAGCTCTCAAGTTGAGGCTAAAATGTATTTGCTCCCTATCTTTGCATGGGGAGTTTGTCTTGATGTAGAGGTGGACTCTCAGGATAGCGTGGGATACCCCCTCCATTTTGGCCTCAACTTGAGAGCTTTTTTTGAGCTTGGGAGTTGATTTCAGAGCAAACCAGTGGCATCATCGTGTTTCTCGCGAACTTTTACAGAGGAATCAACAGTCAAATCACAAATTCCTCACCCATGCAACATCTCTATTACCAGACCATATGTCTCGATTGGCGACATTACAAATCATCAGTTGCATTTCATTGTTCAAAAGAGGCGTAATTGGATCGCATTTAGCAAAATGGAACCAGCGCGATTAGGATGTTGTAAAAATATTGACTCCGCATAATTATCTAAACAAATCTCCTGGAATATCAAATAGTTTTTGCTCCCCACCAAAAAATTATGAATTTCAAAGGTTTTTAAAAGGAAAGAAAAAGTTGCACGATTTTGAAAACACTGTAATTTCACTGGATCCTTTTAGCTGAATCCGATCCAATTAACATTTTTGTTTAACGTACCGTTTGTTTTTCTTCATTTGTTGACGACATTTTCCAGAGGAATTTGTTTCAAGAGGTCGAACAGTATTTTTAGAAAAAAATGAAAAACGAGTGAAAAATTTATACCGAAAAATCTACCGTATTAAAAGTTCCTTGATCCTTGATTAAAGGTTCCTCATCGCGCTTTGATTGTTAAGTACCGGCAAGGTGCGCGGCTCGCAGCGCATCGTGCTTTTAAAACCACTGAAAAAACCTCTCTCGAGATGATCGTCTGGGGAAACTGGCACGGGATCGTTATACAGCTTTCGCTGTTTTCCGATGAGTTGCATTAACTCCACTAACAGCAAGTTAAGATCATTTACGGATCGAGCTACCAAAAATTTCCATACAAAATTCACTGAAAATTCCGCGCTGATCCAGATAGTCAACTGGGAAAATTGGTATGGGATCATGCATTTCCCGTTCACGGAAAAAAATCTTTGGTGCTAATAGCCAGATAGTAGGGGACATTTACCATCTTGGATTCCCAGATGCGACCCCTGAGAACAATTTTGCTTTGTGCACAAATGTATGATGGTTAGAAACCTCAAACCGCGATCAGGTAGGCGTTGACAACAAAGATGGTAACTCGCACCAACACTGCTGGGCGGGCGCGCCGTCCACCGTAGACGTCCCGCACAACGTTGCTGAGATAGCAGATCTTCAAAGATGGTAAACTGACCCATCCGGATGTTTAGTGTATCAATCATGAAAGCAAGGGGAACCTAATATTTTGTGTTTTGATCCATAAAGAGGAGTATTTTCTTGTGAAACGTACAGCTAAAAAAATTGAATACAAACGTGTGCAATGTCGGGGTTCGCAGCTAGGGGATGGTGGAAAAGGGTTAATCGCGTAAATAAATTTCGAAATCGAGTAAAATGAGACTGAACTTATTGAGAGGTGCTGTAGTCGTATCCGACCTATCAAATTTTTATGCCTACCGCGGGGATTGAACCGGGGACCTATCTAACCCTAGGCGAAGACCCTAACGATTGAGATATAAAGTATGATGAGAATTTTGACCAAAAAACCTGTACATAGCTTCGATTTGAACGGAAAACCAGGATATTCAATCTACATACTTAGATTGGTTAATTCATTTTTCCAATTTTTGTATTTCATTTTATTTTTTAACGTTATTTCAGTTTTTTACTTTATTTTATTCCGTTACTTTATTTTATTCCGTTACTTTATTTTAAATTTTTTGCTTTATTTTTTTTCTTTACGTAATATAATTTTTCTTTGATTATTTCATTTTTATTTATTTACCTACTTTATTTTAATTTTTTCCTTTGTTTCTTTACTTAATTTTAATGTTTTACTTTATTGTTTTTTCTTTACTTAATATTATTTTTTTTTGATTATTTATTCTTTATTTCTTCCCTGTATTTTACCGTTACTTACTTTATTTTATTTCTTGCAATTTTTTTATTTTTATACTTTAATTCCGTCACTCAATTTCAATTTTTATACTTCATTAAATATCTCTTCGTTGTTATTTATAACTGCATCTTATTTATCTATTTTTTCTTTTTTTCTTTTTATATCGAGAATCAATTCAACATTTTCAAACTAGGATTATTTTTATGATTGGCTAAAGTGCTTCTAGCACTTCTAGCATTGGACAAATAAGCCCAGGCTACTTACTTGAACAAGTGAGATTATGTAGAATAGAGAATAAAAAAATTACCCCTCTAAAGTACTGAAGCCTTGACATGGTGTTAAATATAGTGCATGCTTAGCCTACTGGTAAACCTGGGATGTTTAGCTGAACGACAGCATACAATTGACAGGAAACATTGTTAAAACATTAGTAACAATTGATAAATGTCTGCCATTTCCTTGGAATTTTGAATGTAGAAAAAAATTGATTTTGAAAACTATTATTAGTACCAGGGGCCTTTGGCCGCTACACTGCCGACAACCAATGCAGAAGAAAACAACTTACGTAAAAAGTCGTAGAACAACCGTGTTCAAGTTATCTCGGAGATTAATGGATTCAAATACCGTCAATGTTTCATTTTTGATCAATGTTTTTAAAAGAATACACACTGTCATTCTAATGAGTTTCCGCAAATTTTCCTGAGTGATTTAAAATAGATAAAAGAAAATTTGACTTAAAACGCATAATATCCGAAATCTAAGCTCAGATTCGGCTTCCTCGTGAAAAATCGATGCAATTTCATGTATCATATGTCACCATATCATGAAGGAGAGAGATTAACGTAGGCGTGTAGATTCTAACATATCAGTCCGACGTGGCAACATGGGTGATTCGGAGTAGGTCAGCTGATGAGTAAGAAGAAGTTTGTTTTCTCGGAAACGGACGAACCAAATGGTTGGCGCCTGGCGCCTGGCGGCGTAGCTCAAACGTTTGGATTCTTTGCCTACTTCCGCATACCGGCCGGCTTTGATAGAATCTTAACGCCTACAATTACCCTCTTTTCTTTATGCTATGGTAACATATGATACATGAAATGGCATCGATTTTTCACGAGGAAGCCGAATCTGAGCTTAGATTTTGGGTATGATGCGTTTCAAGTTGAATCTTCTGAATTTGAAAATTTAAGACGGCGGACGTAGCCTAAATTGATACATCGGCTCCCATTCCATCGATTAAAATAATGGTGGGTGGCGGGAGTGGCCTAAATCGCTATCTCGGTTCCTGCTCGTCGGATTTTCGTAAAACTTGGTGCCAAGGGGAGGGGGGGAGGAAAGACATTTTCAAACACTGCAATCGATATGTCGCAGGCAAATAGTAAAATTAGGCATTTTGTCAAATGCCTAGACAAATAATAAAATACTAGGGGGCTACGCCCCCTGACCGCTACGCGGTCCAAACCCCTGAAGGCGCTCCGCGCCATCAATGGGTCGCTTCGCGGCCCTATTTTCACCTCCTATCAGTGTTAGTTTTATTTTTCCCCTCAAAAATTATGATATGAGGTATACTTTACTTTTAGAATGAAATAATTTTTGGTTTTGATGAATACTTTAGTTCGTTTTAATCCGTTTTTTTTAAATCAGTGAAAAATTTAACATCGTCCGAGTTTCTGAATTGTTGTAATAAATGCCCTTTAATTATCATTAAACCGAGCAGAGTCAAGAATAATTAATTGCGCGAAGTCATATAGTTTTGCGGCGACCTTACCGTCGCCCGAGCCAGGGACGGGAGAAGGAGTACGCTCCACGAACATATTATTACACGCTTATCAGTCACACAAGGTGGGTTGAATATGAATTCTTGAAAATTTAACAACATACTTTCTCTAATCAGCCCATATCTGATTATTCTGATTGCTTTCTTTGGTGACTCAATGTTGGTAAAGCGTAAAAAATTGACGGGGGAGACTACTAACAAAATACTTTAATTGAGTTATCTGAGATGGTGACCTTCATAATCAACAAGTTTATAATTTGCACTACTTAACGCATTCTGTAGTTCAATGAGCCCACTTAACCGAGTAACATCAACCAAAAACAAGTTAGGTGAAGCGCAAGCGCACTCTTTGGTGCAATGAGTCAACTTGATGGAGCAGTTTACCATCAATTTTGTCTCGGTGAACAGATTTGTAATAGCTAGTAGCAACTAATTGAAAATGATTGATTTCCCTAAAGACGTTGTGGACAATACAATGCCGATGGTTATTCTATCAATTTTTTCATGTATACGGCACCAACTTTTAATTAACAAAACCAAGATGGTTATCCGCGCACAGTCATTTTTTTCCGTGTTGTTCTTCGACCGATTGAATCGACTCCATTACTGCCGTGCTAAGGAGGAGCGCCGTATGTGCATTCAAGAGTTGCCAAAATTCCTGAAATAAAATATTTATTTCCAACGACAGTTATAAATATTTGCTCTTGTTATTATAAAAAAATTTAGATCCGTCCCTACTCCGTCCCTATTCCGTCCCTATTCCGTCCCTATTCCGTCCCTATTCCGTCCCTATTCCGTCCCTATTCCGTCCCTATTCCGTCCCTATTCCGTCCCTATTCCGTCCCTATTCCGTCCTTATTCCGTCCCTCCTCCGTCCCTACAACCAGTCCCAGGCAACCATTGTTTGAGACCATCAAACTCGGGTCGCCTGGCCGGGAATCGAACCCGGAACCTCCCGATCGTAGAGCTAGCGCTACAACCACTACACCACAGGAGGTCGACAAACAATCGACAACAGGTCGACAATTTGCCAACGTCTGATGGCATATACTGTGTTTTACCTCAGCACGGCAGCTTATTGCTAGTGTTTTTTTTTTTTATCATTCTCGGATCAAACTTCGGAAAATTTCCATAGGCGAGGAGATATCCTTTGAAAAACCACTGAAAATTCCGCGCTCGAGATGGTCATCTAGAGGAACGGGTAAGGGATCGCATGCATTTATCAGCACGTCTCTTCTTGTTTTCTCATCTTCTCTTCCGATATATTATGCAAGGCACTCCAGATACTCGTTGTGTCTTAAAAATAACTTGTTATCATAATTGACATCATTGAATTTGCTAGTGGTGCGACATCTTAGATTAAAGATCAATAATACTCAAGTGACAAATATATATATATTCATATCTTCATCGATTTACTGTCATATAGTTTTACACGCAGACTGAAAAAAAAAAGCAAATTTTACCAAAAGTATGATGGTTACTGTATTGAATCTACTTGCTTTTACTGTAGGATGAAGATTACCAGAAATCTGGTAAAATTTAGCATAGGGTAAATGCTATAAGAATTCCGGTATTCGCTAAAATATATAGTCTGTTGGTGATTACCATACTCATATCCCTGTAACATAAAACATACCTCAAATCATACTTTTCTTCAGTGCGGCTTCGAGTCGCCCATTTCAATACAAGGATTTATTTAAAAAGACTATATTTTAAATGCTAAACACATCTTTTCAACAAGGTGGAGAAATGGTGCTGGGTCCGCACCATTTCGCGGGGATATCAAAATTCCATGAATTATAATTAGAGTCAAAAATAAATCAATAAAAATAAATAAACTGCACCTGCTCTACAGTCAGGGTTCGATGGCTATAGATATAGTATACTGGGTCGAGTACGTGATTCGTCATAAAGGTGCCCATCATTTGAAACCCGTCTCCGTCAAAATCCCTTATCATCAATATTTACTCCTTGATGTCATGGCTTTCTTCATATTGATATTTTGTGCCATCATTTACTCTGGCTACTATGCCATTCGTAAGATTGCATTGTTTCTTGCTGGTACAGAATATAAGCCTGAGGCAAAAAAACAACTTTGAATAAAAATGTTTTTTGACTTAAAAAGTTCAATTCGGTACGCGGATAACACTGCGTCATTTTCGTCCAAAATTGCCTAATATTTCGGTGAAAGTTGATTAAGAAGTAAACAATACAGTAGAGTCTCGATTATTCGCGTCTCGGTTATCCGCGATTCGGATTATTCGCGGTCTGTGGAGCGGACTTTTTTTTATATTTTTCCTGTTTCTTTTGATTCAAATCCATGATTCAACCTTCCATCAAGAAATTCTTCAAGAAATAATGTTTAATTTGTTTAACAGGTAACGTTTATTGATTCATAGTTAATAATAATTATATGCTTTTCTAATTCATGGTAAGTGTCTTCACTGATTCCTTTAAAATACAATCTTCCCGATGACTTTTTCCAGCCGTCTTGCGGTATTTCCGATCCCAATTATCGCGGATAATTGAGACTCTACTGTATTTACTTCTCGATGTCATAGCTTTCTTCATATTGATATTTTGTGCTATCATTTACTCTGAATACTAGGTCATTCGTAAGATTGCACTGTTTCTTGATGGTACAGAATATAGGCCAGAGGCAAAAGAACAACTTTGAATAAAAATGCTTTTTGACTTCAAAAGTACAATTTGGATAGCACTGTGCCATTTTTGTCCAAAATTGTCTAATTTTTCGAAGTGGTCGGAAAAAAAATTGTGAAATTTCCAGTTAAAGCCTTTCTAGTGGTTTAGAGGGTTAAGGGTTTTCTAGTTAAAACGTAATGTGCGACGTAGAAGTGTGGTTTCCGTTCTTTCGTACGGAAAAGTACAAATTATGGTGACGGCTAGTGATAGATATTTAGCGATTTAAATGAGTTGAGATCTGGCAAATGTTATTAGCTCATCATGAAGTTTGAAGAAGTATTGATAGTAAAAGTTGGTATCTCATCAGACTTGTCTCTCACATCTCAATTGTTGATCCAAGCAATCTTATCTGAAAAATAGAAGAAGTTCAGTGAGCAAAGCAATGCAATCTCCACTTTCATCTATACCAGTATTACTAGGATTTATACGCTTGCCCAACGTGAGTCATTCATGCACCTATTTAAAGCAAATTTAAAGTCCATTAATGCACTTTTCAGCGACATTTTTCTCATGTCCATTAGTCCATATTAGAAATTTTACACTTAATCATGATTTTATAGAATCAGTATTAGTGAAAGGTTCATGTGAGTTTCATCAAACAGACATCAAAACAAAAACATCGATCAAAATCTCAAAACATCTTGGGGTAACATTTTCTGTGTAGAAATGGAATGTAACGTTTGTGGTGAATATAAAAAGAAACAATGATCATGAGATGGTGTGAAAAATTTTCAGTACTATAAATGGAATCTTGGCCTCAGAATTAAAGTAAAATCGGAAGTTATTTATTCTACCCGGTGTAAGTACATTTTAAATATTTTTCAAATAAATCCATGAAGATCCTAATTAATAGCCTTGATTTCTTCTCCTCCTCAGTAAAAATAGTGCTTGGCTCAAGCTTGACGATTCTTGAATTTGCCGCCATGAGTTTTTTTTCATCGTGATTCAAGCGGAGTATCTCTTGGAACAAGAAAAAACTCTTTGATTAAGCAAACAAGTACCATAAATTAAGCGGCATCGCTCTCGATTTGGAAAAAAAAATTCTTGTTGGAAAATGTAAGAATTACGTTTTTTCAGTGTTCCATAAAATAAAACGGGAGCGGTTTCAGAGACTAAAAATGACATCCATCATAACTGAATCGGTTCCTTTCTGTTAGACGGACGTAAGTACAAAAACTCAGGAGCCCTAGCTTTCTGCGTGATCAGCAAAAGCCAGGACTCTTGATTTTTTGGATTTACGCTCGTCTAGCGGAAGCCCACTTAATCATACGATACACTTCCTTTAAAATTGAAAACAAACCACAGAAGCATCTCTAGTTATTTAACTCAATTGGAAAAAGAGGAAAGTGAAAATGTCGGATGCATAGCGTCTGTTACGTTGTTTTTATGTATGTATGTATGAGCCGCTTTTACGGCGCGCTAGGGCGCTCTGCGACGCCTATTCTCCACAGGAATCTGTCATGGTAGAGATCCTCCGGAAGCTGGCATCTCTCCATCTCTTCATGGATGCCCTCTACCCACCGTTTGGCTGGACGCCCTCTCCGTCGCCTACCTGGGGGGACCCACTCCAACACCTTCTTCGGCAACCTGGTATCAGCCATTCTCTGCACATGCCCATACCATACCAATTGCTTGGTCATGATATCGTGCACAATCGTCCCCTCAACGCCCATTATCTCTCGGACACGTTCATTCCTGACACGTTCTCTCCTCGAGATTCCAGCCGATCTTCGCCAGAAATCCATCTCGGTCGCCTTGAGCATTTCTTGGGTCCGCTTCTTCAACTGCCACACTTCACTGCCATAGGTGATAATAGGCTTGACAACCGAGTTATAAATCCTCTTCTTGTTGTCTTTGGAAATCCTTTGGTCCCAAAGGATCCCATTAAGCATGGCGATGGCTTTCCTTCCTAGAAGATTACGGTCCCGAATGGCCTGATCCAGCTTCCCATCCGAAGTCAGGTTCACCCCCAGGTACTTGTATACGTTGTTTTTGCTTATTTAAATAGTCTGCGACACTCGACAACAGCCATTTGTGCCAGTCGTACTTTTGGAGCCACCAGCCGTAAAAAATCGTAGGAAATCCTGCATGGAACCTTTTGAGAAGTCGTAATGAGCCGTAGAAAGTAAGTTTGCTTTTCGTCCTGGTAAAATTTTAAATTTTAAAATTTTATTTTTTTTGGTCATTTTACCGATGAACATCGTTACGGGCTGCTCCATTCTAGTATATTTCTAGAGGAAGTGACAAAATGTAACCACCTCATAAGTTGTATATTTCTCATTGTACATTACTATAGAACGTATTATAACCTCCTGCAGAGAAAAATGTCTTGACGGTAATTAAATCAGCAAGGATAATCAGATTTCCTCAAAGTATACCAACACTCGTAAAAAAAAAAAACTGTAAACTAATAAATTTGAGGACCGAGTCAAACATTTTCTAAACCTCGGGCTGCATCTAAAATCGCAGTCTAAAAGTGACGCAAATTCATAAATGGGGAGATAATGAAGGGAAGTCACTCGAGTATAATAAAACAAAGCACAGATTGGTGACAAAAAACACCAAATTGTTTGTGTGTTTTTTTCATAATTTTCAATTTCAAGTGCAATTGTCTGACTGTGATATTACACGAACTCCAAGGTTTAGAAAACATTTGACCCAGTTTTTGTTCATTTTAATTTTATTTTTTTACGATGATACTAGCCAAGATTTTTTCTTTAACAGCGCACTCCGCATCTGCGTGAAACGTGAAATAGAATTGAGTCCTTCCATTGAACAGAAAGATGAACACTGCAACAGCCCTTTTAGCAGCGATTATCCTTTTGAGCAGTACAGAATTGGCATCGCCTGCAAAGATTCTGCTTCTATATCCGATACCGTATCCGAGTCACTGGAAGGCATTCAAGCCATTATTCGAGGAGCTGGCTAAACGGGGTCATCAAATCACAGCGTACACAACTCTCCCCGGACTTAAATCTTTTAAGAATTTCGAGCACATTGCAATCAGTGCAGACACAAGTAAAGTTGATGTGATGGGTAAGTGCTGCTCTCAAAAGTAAAATTTATCCCAAGCCTCAAGTAGTTCCCTTCAAGTAGTTCAAGTAGTAGCCTTTTCCGAAGTTCCTTCCGATATCGTCACCTTCCAGCTAAAGTATCAAAGGCGCCATGCGACGTTTAAAAATTTGCGCCACTTTTATATCTTTTTACAGAAAAATTTTTCAACGAAGCTGTCCGAAAATTTCATTAAATTTTCATTGTGCTGCCGATAAAATTAAATGAAATTTTCAAACAGATTCAACCAACAATTTCTCTGAAAAAAATAAATTGGCGGACGAAATTTTGAAACGTCGCATGGCGCTTGTAATACTTTGGCCAGAAGGTGACGATACATAGTTCCTAAAGTACTTCAAAGAAGGAAAATAAGATTTTACATGATAAAGCCCAGAGACTCCCTTATTCTTTTTTTTTATAAACAAAATTATGTCTAATTCTTTATTCTGTCGAAGCAACACTTTCTGGAAAAAAAACTGGGGAAGGTAAATACAGCGCCTTTTCGCGTCCAACAAATTGGTGGTCATCTTAAATTTCTTGCCTTCTTTTAACCTAGCAGGCAATATGGGTCACGAGCGAGCCAGGAGTGCGCGATGTTTACCACGTTACAATGATGGCAGTGTTGCGAACAGCCTGTTCATCGATCCTTTTCCATAGATTTAAATTGCAGATCAATCGATATTCGAAATATCGCAAAGCATATCGCGCCACTGAATGATGACTGCCAGAAACCTTGTTCGCAAAACCTCTTATCGATAGGTACCACTAAATAAGCTTTTAAGAGCTCATGTTGCCTACTTCGCTGAGGGAAGGCAAATCATGGTTAGGCTGTCTTTGAAGAGAGGTTTTAATCAGCCTTGATAGCACCAAGGATGAAAACAAATGGGGAACCAAAAGGCAACAGCATTCATGCATATTTCTATCCCTCACTCATTTGCTTACTTTTCACAGGTTTTGACCCTGTCGGATGTAGATCCAAGACACTAATTTCATATCTGTATGGGCTTTGGGGATATTTTTCCGCGATCAATGAGGCGGCTCTGGAATCCAAAGAGCTGCAGGCACTAATGCATTCCGATGAGAAGTTCGACTTACTGATGACAGAGGCCAACTTCATGGAGGAAAGCATTTTAGGGTTTAGCCATAAGTTCAACGTTCCTGTGGTCAGTATGTACCCGATTTTTATCACACCTTGGATGGCGCAACTCGCCGGGATACCCCACTCATACTCCTACATCCCTAGCACTTTGCAACCCTTCACCGACCAAATGAGTTTCTGGCAAAGGACGGTGAATACAATAACCGGTTTGTCCGAAATTCTGTTGGGTCATCTGCATCACTTGCCGAGTCAAGAGAGGATGATGCGCAAACATTTTAAATACCCTGGCTCAGAAAATATACCTCCAGTAGGAGAGTTGATCGCTAATATTTCGTTGCATTTAATCGATTCGCATCAAATTATGAGCTTCGTTCGACCATATCCCCCGCATGTTATTGATGTTGCAGGAATGAACACCAAATCGGCTGGGAAACTACCTCAGGTATGTTAACAAGCTCATACGGTTCGGTTCCAGTGGCGTGGCGTGAATGATCGATTATCGATATCTCGCCGTTTGAAGCTATGGTAAAGAATCGATTACTGAGGTGTTCGCTGCGAACAGCCTAATAATCGATCTTTTTTTACAGGTTTGAGTGATGTATCAATCGATATATCGCAAAGCACGCCACGCCACTGTTCGGTTCGGAGTATCGAATGAAAAATAAGAACTTTTCGAGTTCATGCAAGAAAGGCAAAAACATGTAAGCTTACAGAAGATTTTCGAGTTTAGAGTTTTACAACGAGATGATTCTGAGTGTGTTTTTAGTATTTTCCCATTATTTTCAATCTTAAATAAAAAATATTCGATTTCGCCCGTACGGGTTTAAATGTCATATCGGCGGTGAAACTACCAAACCACGTATCTCGGTTTGCGACGTTGTAGACTTCCTGTCATACTTCACTTCTTATATGAAAAACCACTCAACGTCAGTTCTTGAAAACTTCCATGATTTTTCCTCTTCGTGTAGAGAAAACTCTGTGAAAATTTCAAGGAATGATATTGATCTGGTCTTCTTCGAAAAAATAAAATGTGAGCGGAGATTTTCAAACACCGCAAACGAGATACGTGGTTTGGTAGTTTCACCGTCGATATGCATTTATATACATTTAGAAAAATTTAATTTTTTATTGAAATTTTGTTTTTGTACTGTATGTATATATTTTAAGAAGAGAATGGCTTCGAGATATCTTAAAAGATAAAACGATTTTATGATCAAAACTGATCGAGGAAAAAAAGAACTTAGGCCATTTTTGGATCGACATCAAGTCTGAAAATGGCGTATTCAGCCTTACTGCCGAGTACTTTTGCCATACCTACTTGGATACAAATCGTGACACTTTTATAGTGGCATACTAATTATTTACCAATGTTTTTATAGACGTGATGTAAAGTTATTACAAATCTCACTGGATGCGCCGCGTCACCCAACTAATGTCACCGAGACTTTGATCACAATAATTTACCTTCATTTTCAAATGATGCAACAAGTCTTTCTGCGGTATTACTTTTTAGCTTTTATCATTCAGCGTTCATATAAATCCATGCATGTTGAGCTTTGGCTTCAACAGATCCTAGACCAAATCGCTCAGTCATTTTTTCATGATATCGTGTATTTGTTTTTATTATGACTTAAGATCATGATTTGTCATATCGAAAGTGGGAAACCACGTATCTCCATTGTGGGCATGGCGGTGTTTTGAAATTTCTGGTCCTTTCCTATTTTTCGGGGAAAAACAAGCCAACTTTGAAATTTGAACTTTATACAGAATCACTATAGAAGAAATATGAAGCAGGTTTTCAAAAAATTAGGTTGTTCAGGTTCCCAAAGGAAAATAAAGTATGTGTCAGGAAGTCTGCAAAGTCGCAAATGGATGTACCTACCTACGTGGTTTTGCACTGTAGCCATCGATATTTTTCGTACATAATTAATAAAAATGTGTGAATAAATTCGCAGAAAGCAACGCATATCGATGGTGTAAGTCGGCAATCACATATGTGTGAAGAAAATTCTGCGAAAGCTTTAAGGAATGATGTAAATTAATGTTCACCTTTAAAAAAATGAAGTAGAGGCGGAGATTTTCAGACACCGCAAATGAGATATCGTCACCTTCCGGGCAAAGTATCACAAGCGCCATGCGACGTTTCAAAAATTCCGCCGCCGTTTTATTTTTTTACGGAGAAATTGTTCAACGAAGCTGTCCGAAAATTTCACTGAATTTTCTTTGCGATGCCGATAAAATTCAGTGAAATTTTCAAACAGATTCAACCAACAATTTCTCTGTAATAAAATAAAATGGCGGCGGAAATTTTGAAGCGTCGCATGGCGCTTGTGATACTTTGCCCGGAAGGTGACGANTGGACCAAAAAAAATTGGACACAAAAACATTGGACAAAGATTCTTATAACCGCATGGCAGTGTTTTGAAATTTCCGGTCCTTTTCTATTTTTCGGGGAAAAGCAAGCCAACTTTGAAATTTGAACTTTATACAGAATCACCAGAGAAGAAATATGAAGCAGGTTTTCAAAAAATTAGGTATTGTTCAGGTTCCCAAAAGAAAATAAAGTATGTGTCAGGAAGTCTGCAAAGTCGCAAATGGATGTACCTACCGACGTGGTTTTGCACTGTATCCATCGATATTTTTCGTACATAATTAATAAAAATTTGTGAATAAATTCGCAGGAAGCAACGCATATCGATGGTGTAAGTCGGCAATCACATATGTGTGAAGAAAATTCTGCGAAAGCTTTAAGGAATGATGTAAATTAATGTTCACCTTTAAAAAAATGACATAGAGGCGGAGATTGTCAGACACCGCAGATGAGATATGTGATTGCGGACTTTCGCCGTCGATACCAACCAAATGTATACCAATTTAAGATTTGTGGTACAACCTGCTGAAGTATAGCAATGTTTGATTAGAAATCAATACGTGATCACATGTTGTTCTTGGAGTGCCACTCCAAATTCGCATCGTAAGACAAAAGTATTTAAAAAAGTATTCTCTTTTTTTTCTTTCAAGGATTTACAAACGTTCTTGGACGATGCAAAAGATGGGTTTATATATGTTTGTTTTGGATCATTTATAAATAAAAAAGCATTTTCACGACGGTTTGAGAATGTGTTGACCGAAACTCTGAGAGGGCTCAAATGGAAAGTCATTATGAAATCCAGTGATGAAATTGAAGGAGCACCGCATATAATGACCAGACCTTGGTTGCCGCAGGTGGAAATTTTGTGTAAGTATACTTGTTTTGTATAGTTGTTCGTTGTGTTCGTATTTTGTGTCAAAATTTTAGCACAGTTCCTCATCCACTTAGATAATGGCTATTTCCGTGCTATTAGTATTTCCGTAGTGCGTTCAAACATAATACGCACCAATTCTCCACTATCGCCACAATATTTATTCGAGAGATGAACTGGATAGTTTGGTAGAATTCGGAAACCGGATGACATTTTTGAAATATTGTACTAAAAGAGAATTTGCAGGTGTCTGAAAGTTGATGAATTTCGTGTTTAAGCGGAAACTACTGAGTGAACTGAACACGAGGATACTCTTGGCTTATGAATTGATCAATTATCGAAAAAGATATGGCAAAATGATCTAATCTGCTAAAATACGTGTGTTTAAATGGGAAATGTCGCCGGATGACGTCACTAGGCGGTGCATTTTTTCACTTTTAAATCGATTCGTAGACTATTTATTGTAGAAACAATTACGAAAAATACTGCGAAATCAGCTCTTTAAGTACTCTCAGACAAAGCAATAAGAAATTTGCATGCAAATTCCCCATTACGTTTAAAACTTAAATCGACATTCAATGCGGAATAATTTAGCTGTGCATGGATTAAAAAACTTTACTATCATTGCTTTCAGCGCACCCAAACTGCAAACTGTTCGTTACGCACGGCGGCTTTAACAGTCTGATGGAGGTCATGAGTATAGGAGTTCCCACCCTGGGCTTGCCATTCTTTTCGGATCAGTTCCAAAATGTAGCCTGGTATGAGCATAAAGGAGTTGGCTTGAAGATCGATTACGACACTGCAACGGTCGCTGATCTGACGGAAAAAATCAATAAAATTATTAACACTCCTTCGTAAGTTTACTTTTCACACAGGATTAATCGATTTTAACTCATTTGGACCACATTTTGCGTTAAGGACTTATATTTCCAGCGCATTCACGAACGCACCTATACTTGCATAGCAAAATTGATAATGATTCCCAATCGCAAAACGCTGACCATCTGAATTCGCCTTCAGTTTTCCGTATAGGCAACACTCATGCCTCCCGAGGACCAAGAATATTAGCCATTACGGAAAAAAATTAAATTGCTGATTTAACAATTCAATTGCTAAAAAAAAGTGACTGCAGTGTTTCAATGCAGCAAAAATATGCTACTTTAACCACCCTCGTGGTTAAATTAACTTACAATAGTGGCTAAAGTAGCATTTTTTTGTTGTGAAATATTGCAGTAACTTTTTCTTTTTTTTAGCAATTGAATTATAAATCAGCAATTTAATTTTTTTCCACGGGAAAAACATGTAATTACCTCACAGCACTGAACCAAGATTTGACTCGTGATTTTGTTGGTAAAAAGTAGATGACGCTCCTCTCGAAATTTCTGGGAACAGTCAAAAAATCTACATGAGCATGCAAATAATATAAAATAAACATTCCATTTGAAAGCTTGCAAATAATGCCACTCCATATAAGCTTTGACTGAGCCGAAAAACGATGATGTGCACCTACTGCCCACTTGTGGAGACATTCCTTGAAGTTCGCCTGCGCTTCAGCTACTTAGGCAACAAACACAACGAATGGCGCAAGTACAACTTGTGTCTCACTCCATACACACACCGACAAAAAAGATGCTGATTTGGACGTATTTCTGTCAAACGGAACTATGTGCATTATGACGTGAGCCCTGCTATGCATACATTCTTATGGGTCACAGGGCTCATGTCTTAATGCACATAGTTCCGTTTGGTAGAAATACGTCCATTTAACATTCTAGATGTAAAAGTGTGCGACAACTATCATACGCTGAATGAACCGCTACAACAGTTACTTAAGCAAAGTCAATATCGATGGTGAAACTACCAAACCACGTATCTCGGTTTGCGACGTCGCAGACTTCCTGTCATACTTTATTTTTTAAGTGAAAAGTTACTTGACGTCCAGTCTTGAAAATTTCCGTGATTTTTCCTCTTCGTGCGGAGAAAATTCTGTGAAAATTTCAAGGAATGATATTGATTTGGTCTACTTCAAAAAAATAAAATGCGAGCGTAGATTTTTAAACACCGCAAACGAGATACGTGGTTTGGTAGTTTCACCGTCGATATGCAACAAACATACTAGAACACGCACAGCTGTCTTCTCAAAAACGCTCGTTTAATTCGTGAATCTTGAGCTTTGAATGTACTCAGAAATTAAATGACAAAAATGAGAAATAAATTAAGACTGAGACTAAAAGTGAACATGCTACCATGCATAGATCATAAATTTTAAAAAAATAAAATAATAATAATAATATATATACCCCTGTTATTGGACATTATTTGTTTCGTCAGGTTCTTTTCAAATATTTTTACTTTTTCTACCCTGAGAAGTAATAATAAAGTTAACTATTCGATTTCAGATTTATGGATAATGCAAAACAAATAGCTAAGCTTTACCACGATGAGCCTCAATCAAGATTAGCCAATGCAGTCTTCTGGGTGGAATATGTAATACGTCACAAAGGCGCTCACCATTTAAAACCGGAATCCGTCAGAATGCCATATTATCAATATCTTCTACTTGACGTAATAGCATTTTTAGTGGCCGTGCTGTTTCTCGCTACATACATCGCCTATTATCTTGCCCAGAAGTTCTTGCGATCATTTTTAAGTACAAATAATGCATTAAATGTAAAAAAACGGAATTAAAAATACAATGTCTTTCATCAAAAGGCATTGAACTTATTTTGCCGCCTTATGAACTAATGCAAGGTTCCTATGTTCAAATGTTTGAAAATCCCCTCTTTTATTTTATTTTTTGAGGGAGCACAAATCAGTATTCCTTGAAATTTTCACGGAGTGTTCTTTGCGCAGAGCAGGCAAATCACGGAAATTTTATGACGGAAAATCATTCCACAGAATTGACGTTGAGTTGTTCTAAATTTGAAAAATTTCACCGTCGATACAGGAAAAACGCGAACGTAACTCTGCCGTGCTAAGGAAGAACGCCATATGAACATTCGAGGGTTGCCAACAATTTTTCCATAAAATGTTCATTTTTGAGGATAATTTTTAATATTTTTCCTTGCAATTTTCAGTAAATTTAGGTGAAATTGCGAACAAAATTTACTGTAAAATTGGAACAAAAATATTCATAAGCTCACCGAGAAGTACGCGTTTTATCAAAGTATATTTGGCATCGCCTGCAGGATCATAGGGTGTTTTTCCTTAGCACGGCAGAACTCGCGGTGTATCTGATGGAGGACGCGCCTTTCGCTTCCGAGGGAGTGTACGAGTGTAAGACGTATGGCCTATCATAACATTTGTGGGCGTTCCCATGAACACAGGTACTTGTGCTGTGTTATTACCCGGCGCACGGCGGCGATAGTCCATTTTTCGATAGTTGCATGCAGATTGCAGTCGCAGTTACAAGTCAACAATACAACAACTGGAGCAGTTGTCTAAATATTGGCTGGCCCTTTGAAAAGTTTGCAGACACGAATCAACAATACCAAAACTGTAGCAGTTATCTAAAGATTAGCTGGTCCTTAATCCTTCAGTGAGAGGTATGAATTTGTTTGGTATTTAAAGAGTTCTAAGTGCCTCCCTATGAAAATTTTGAAAAATCGATGGATGCCCTTTAAGGCTGCTCCAATTTGAAATTCGGTCGAGCTTGTAAGTTATATGCAAGCTTCACAACTCCACGTACGATCTGTGTAAATAAAACTTTTCAAAGTTTTCGTTTTCCTCATCTAATAAGGCACCGAGGGAAGAAAACTTGCAAAGTTGAGGGTTATTTTCTATCGGCCAGATGCAATGGGGGAGAGACGGATCGCCGTTGCTTTCCCACTATGAGCTTCACCCATAGTCTACACGGAAGCGAATATTCAAATATAAGAGCAAATAATTAATGATTTTATTTCTGCAGTGGAGAATTTGCACGCATATTTTTTATTCCATCATCTGAGAGTGCTTAAAGAGCTGATTTCGAAATATTCGATTGTCTATCAACTGTTTTGTCTATGAAATTCAATGATCAGCCCGCTGGATCCGCCTATATGAGTTAGAGTCCCTTTATACCCAGAGTTACGACAACTCACTTTTGGTTGGGCCAGGATTGGGCTGAAAGTGGCCTAAAAAAAAATCCAATTCTGATTGGTTCTCGCTCATGGAGGCCGAAACTAGTGCACCAAGATGGCGGTACCTCGAATGTGAACAAGAATAATGAAAATCTTACCTAATTGTGGTTTATCGAGAGTAAATTGTTATTTCCATCGGTCCAAAATGAAAATAGAATAAGACATTATTCACAAACCAATCTCATTTTCTTTTTAATTGATCAATTTGTTGATGTTGTTGTTTTTGTGTGACAGACATCGCAGGATTCCTGATCCTTATCCCTCAATATCGTTCGTTTGAGTGCACTAGTTTCGGCCTCCATGGCCAGCCAAGGTCGGCTGCCAGTCAGCTGATAATCGAGTTGTCGTTACTCTGGGTATAAAGGGACTCTAATATGAGTGAACAACTGGAACACTGAAATTAGGACGCATTTTGTTGAAACGACATTTCTTACAGTGCTGTTGCCGTCCGAGCGGAACCCCAAATAAATTGCGATCTTTGATTATTTAAAGAGTAATAATATTAAAATAAAGCGGAACGTAAAAATTGCGGTCAGTTTGCGGTACCTACCCGACGGGCTAAGTGGGAGTGTCCAGTAGGAGAAGAAGAAAAAGAAGACAAATTCCACTCGGTCCGTAATCATACTCGCTGCCCGGGACCTGGAAATGAACGCTTTATCCGCTAATAAAGTACCTTCTGAGAACAATCTCGTAAGTTTTAAGGTAAACAATCGGGACTTAAATAAAAAACCACCGACAATCATAATTTGACGGTCAGCGAATTAGGAATGAGATAAACTTCTTGTAATAAAACGACAGCGTCGTTGGTGGTAGGCAGAGGCGAATGCGTCAGGTGAATGTTGTTGAAATTTTCCTTTTCACTTCCATTCAGCTGAGCCATAAACCAACACGTTCAAACGGTGTTTGAGTGCTTTGCAATGATTAGGGTTTCCGAGAACCCCGCGAACGGAGACCAGCAACCTATAATGTGGGTCTATGCGTTTTAAATATCGTACCCTCCGTTTCCGCCATAATCATGTCCCCGGCAATTTTCCGCTTCAATGACGATCATTTCGGATTTTCAACGCTTCTACTCAGCAAGCCTGGGGAGAAAGAGCGAGAGAGAGGTAGCATGCTTACTTGCGAGACAAAGAGTAAGCATGGAACAGTATTGAAGTTGCAGAGTAAACTGGCGCAAAGTTTATTTTCCGACGGAGGGTATGGATTCGAGACGAAAAATCCGACGAAAAACCAAAACGTGAACTGATCAACATGAATCGATCGAAATCGATTCGATTGACTAACACGTGAAATGATCGACAATCCCGTCAGCCGATCGACAAACCCGTGAATCGATCGACAAACCCGAGAATCGATCGGCAAACCCGAGAATCGATCGACAAGCATGCAAGTCGACCGAATAGGTGTTGATGGAATCACGTCGATCGGTTCACGTTTTCGTTTTTTGATCGATTCATGTTGATCGAATCGACACAGGTTTTATTAGTAATTTGTCGATCGAATCGGTGTCGATATCGATTCACGTTTTCACTTTTCGATCGATTCATGTCTATCGCATCTACACCCTTCTTTTCGGACGAACTATTCGTACTGATATGCCGGAGTTGAAACACCGTACGAAAACTCTGACGCTTTAAAAGTCTCCGCTCCTGTTTTATTTTTTCAGAGAACAAACCAACATCAATACTTGAAAAATACCAGAGTTTGCTCTGCACGGAGAGGGAAAGCACGGACATTCTTGAGAATTGACGCTGAGCAGTTCTCCGTTTAAAAAATAAAATATGACAGGAAGTCTGCAACGTCGCAAACCGAGACGCGTGGTTTGGGAATTACATCATCCTAGTGATTTTTGTTACACATTAGATGAATTCATTCGATAAAACAAATAATCAGCTATACCCACTAGATAAGGTAGGAATTTAAGCATTCTGAAACATGTTTGTTAATCAGAATATCATACGTAGAACACGATTCATGCATTAAGAATTACTGAAATCAACTCCTAACTAAGATATTGACTTTTTAGTTCTACATTTTCTACGGGAAATTTGAATTGCCCGGTCCCAAGCGACACAATACTCTACGTGAGTCAAATCGCGCACTACAACGTAGCTGAGCCAAAGCGTCAAGATTGAGACTGTCATATTTCCGTATCGCAGAGACTGCCATGGTAACGTTTATTTTGCGATCTAACGTATGTAGACCATTGCGTTTCTATGAGCGGGAGGTTTAAAGTCACGTGTCAAGAAACATTTAATATCTTGCTTAGGAGTCAATTTCAACAATTTTCGTCACACGAATCGTTTTTTACGTTAAATTTCGACTAAGAAACATATATCAGAATGCTCGACTTCGTACCTTGTTTCGTGGTTCATTACGAAAACTAACAATAACCAACCGATTAATCAAGGAGCTAATGCTTGGAATACTGCCGTGCTAAGGAAAAACGCCGTATGAACCTTCAGGCGTTGCCAAATTTCGATTGGTCAAAACGCGAATTTCCTGGTGAACTAATGAATATTTTTCTTCCAATTTTTCAGATAATATTGTTACCAATTTCACCTATAGAGTTTCTGAAAATGTCAAGGAAAAATATCCACAGCTCTCTTCAAAAATTAACATTTTATCGAGGGAAATTTGGCAACTCTTGAATGCTCATACAGCGTTCTTCCGTAGCGCGGCAGAAAGTGCGTGCGAGTGTTTGGGTGTTAAGGATACATCTAGATCAGTGGCCTGACGTCCTTTGCGGTATATCGATTGATCGACCATTTGAACCTATGGAAAAGTATCGATACGAAGGGTGTTCGCAGCGAACATCTTAACAATCGATTATTTACCACAGCTCTAAATGGGGAAATATCGATGGATCGCAAAGCACACCACGCCACTGATCTAGATCGCTTACACCGCGATATTGGTGGGTATCGATGTAACGAACAGTCCTCGAAAAGATGATTCGAGGGTGAAGTATCGAAGCGGATCGCAATTATTAACCGCGGTGAGGAGAGGACTTCCGATCTGCCGGGAAGGAAACGTCTTCAAATTTTAATTACAGCGTTTAATTAAAGACTTGTAGAGGCCGTGACGACAACGGTGGGTGGATGAATCGATTTCGTCGGCTATGAAAACGCCAGGTAATAGCGCCGCGCCGCGCCGCGCGCCGCTGTAGCCACCATACACCCTCATCGCCGATAACCAGCCTAATTTCCGGGTTCGGCCACGCTCCGGAAATGAGCTGGAAAACAATAAAAGCTCCGTAAAATGGCTCCATTTCCTACTTATTGGAACGGCTCGGCAATCAAGATGGATAGATTGTCGATTAAGTCGATTGCCTCCTCATAAACACTCCTGATCATGCTTGCAGTTGCACGTGCTGTATAGGTTGAATCTACATGCACATGAATCAGTTGTTTTCATAAGGGAACAGGTCCATTTAAATAGCATGAGCCTTGGGTTGCCTAACAGAACATGTTAACGAAGACTCATCGAGGAATAGAACTATTCCCTTTTGAAAACAACTGATTCACATATCGCTGTTCCTCTCACGTTTGCGTCTTTTTATTTCGACTAGCCTCAGAAGGCATGGAGGCATACGGAAGACAGCGG